TCCTCCTCCTCCTCCTCCTCCTCCTCCTCCTCCTTCTTTTGGTACTGGGGATTGAACCCAGTCCTTTTTATTTATTAAATTTCAGACAAGGTCTTGCTAAGTTGCACAGGGTCTTGCTTAAGTTGCAGAGGCTGGCCTTGAATTTGCATTCTCCTGACTGAGCCTCATGCATTGCAGGGATTACAGATATGTGCCACTCAGCCTGTTTTTGACATTTTTTATTTGTTTGTTTCCATGCTTTTTGGTTCGCATGTGCCCAGTTAAATGGATGTACAGATTTTAAAATGTGGCTTTAACTCTCCAACCCTCACAACACACCCAAGTGCCTTAAAACTATTCCTGCAAAGAAACTGGAATTAGAAGATAATTATGATAACACAATCACAAGTGAACAAAACCAAAATGGCCAAAGTAGCATGTCAAGTAGGCCTGGTATAAGCTCTTTGTCAGCTAAAATGAGGCAGAATCAGTAATTATATGATTAGATTGGATAAGAATAACTCTTGAAAATCCTAAAATTATCTTGATGACTCTCTGAAATCTGGATTTACACTTTAACTAAGGAACTTTGACCTTTCTCTATATACTGTGCCTTGRGGTACTGTTTACTGTACATAAAGTAGCATAGGCAGAGGGATGTTTAAAAATGAGTGTGTTCATCTTTATCCCATCCTTTTATGAATTTCTATTCTTTGGACCTGGCATGGTGGTGCATACCTGTAATCCCAGCAATTTGGGAGGTTGAGGCAGGAGGATCAGAAGTTTGAGGCTAGTCTCAGAAACTTAGGGGAGAACCTCAGCAACTTAGTAAGACTCTGCCTCAAAAAAAAAAAAAAAAAAAAAAAAAAATCTATTTGTTCATGATTGAAATATACAGAATTTTTAGTTAAAGTACAAATGCAGAAAGCACCAATTCAATAAATTTTTGTGTGCATGTGATAAAGATGTGCAATTAAAGCAGTTTAATGACTACTTAGCAGGAGGGGAACTGGGATTGTCCTGAGGCTTTAAGAACCCATCACAAATTCCTTGGGGTTGTTCTTAGTGCTAACATGGCACGTTGTTGGGAATCTTAACGTCTTGACCATATTCCTGGAAGCTTCTTGTGAGAGGGGGTTTGTTTCGCACCTGACTGGCCCTAGCCCAAGGTGTGATACAGGAAGCTTGAGAGCAGCAAGTATTCAAGTCCAAGAGCCTGAGCTCAGCCACAAGGTTGGGCTTTGGGAGCCCAGGGGCAGGATTTTCAGGAAACCTGCGGAGAAGCAAAGGGTGATGAGGGACTGCCTTTGACCCTGAGCCCCGCTTTCTTCCACATTCCCTATAGGAAGGGTTTTGCCTGCCTTTCCCGGGTTCTCGACGGGGTTCCAGGGCAGTGCCCTTCCCTCTCCAGGCCTGAGTCCCCCATCTATGCACGGAGCTGATGGGCCTGGAGGCACGCACTAGCCCTGGCAGCCCTGGATTCTGGAGCAGAGCCACCCTAGCCCCAGCCCGCTGAAGACGCGCTCCTGGCACTGAGAGAGCCACTCTAACAAAGAGCGGATTTTACTTTAGTTCCCTTCCAAACAGCATTTTTTGTGCGGGACTGTCCCAGAGCTCAGGAAATGAGGTGATCATCAGGGTGAAAAAGGAAGGGGGATGGGTGAGGGTGATTGGGCAACCAGCTGCGCAAACACAGGAGGTCAAAGATTGCGCCCGCCCTGCGGCCTCCGCTGGGGATAAAGGCGCCCCGGGCGCTGAGACGCAGCGCAGAAGCAGGTGGTCTTTGCTCACCGCTCCTTGCCACACCGGGAGGATGAGGCTCTCCGTGGGCGCCCTGCTGGCCTGCGCCGTCCTGGGTGAGTGCCTGCGCGGGAAGGACCGAGTCTCCACCCCAGGCATCCCTTGCACCCTGGAAGCCCGGGTGCCTTTTCCGTTCCTCCTCTTTGCCACTCCTTCTGCTGCACCCTGCTTGAGCCTCTGGCCACCCTGCTGACCCTGCTTAATGCCTCTTCCCCCTCCGTCCAGTAAATCAAATATAATAAAATAGGGCACGTCTAAGCACAGTTTATCCGGGCGCTTTTCTGCTGCCTCTTTTGTCAAGTCCAAACTCCTTGGCAGGGAATCCGAACTTCCCCTGGATCACTCATTGCCCCCCTTCATAATCTGATGTCCCGTGAGTGCTCTTGGCGCTGTTGATACCCTACTAGGGAGGCAGGGCCATCGTGTGTTCAGAGGATGCTACTGGAAACCAGAATTCTTGGGTCCTCATGCTGGCCAGGCTCCTCACCTGTGAGAGCGCAATCCTAACACCTGCCTGGGAGGGTCATGCAAAGATACCAGGCAAGGTTGGAGAATGCCACAGGTGACCAATGGCTTCCCCCAAATCTGAGGTTGTTGGACCCTCTTCCTATGTCGATGTCTCCAGMTCACTCATTTTTTCACAGGGGGAGGCAGGTACTAGGAATTGAACCCAGGGGTGCTTAACCACTGAGTCACATCCTGAGCCCATTTTATTTTATTTTTTCATTTTCAGACAAGTCCTCACTAAGTTGCTGAGGTTGGCTTTGAACTTGTGATCCTCCTGCCTCAGCCTCCTAAATCATTGGGATGAAGGTGTGAGCCACTCAACCTGGCTTGCTGCTCACTCATCTGTCACATAGTTGTAGGCTTCCACATGGAGTTATTTTTTGCCTTCTCTGAAACTATCAATTCCTCATGAGGGTGTGTGAGGTCCACACATGACTGAGGACTGAGTATCCCTGTAGAAGTAGGGAGACAGGTCTGGAGAGGTGGTTTGGGGAGAGTTTGCCACTGATAGTGATGCCTCTTGTGAATTCCCAAAGCTGAGGTGAAGCAAGGCAGGGCGGTCATTCCCCCCATGATCCTTTCTTTTATCATCCTGGAGAACTGTTGGCTGTGGCCCTGTTGCTTTGTGTCTTGCGGATCTTCCTGAGTCAGCGAGTCAGCCTAGCTGTGTTGACCCAGGGGGGTGGACAATACTGAGGGCTTGGGGGGTGGAGCCAAAGCTCATGGATAGGGACATCTCTGATACACATGGATTTTAATAGCTCTGGGTGTGGCTGGAGTCAGCTTGCTTTCTAAATGGCAGTCAAAAAGAGAAATGAAAATTGGAGAAGGTTTCAGTGGAAAGAGGGAAGACTGCTGAATAGATGGAGTTTTTAGTTATAACTAAAACAGTCACAGGCAAATTCGTGATCTTTTCATGCATTCCCCCTCCCCACCAACCCACCACTACTGAGGAAGAAGGGGCCAAGTAACTAAGAGTTTTGTCTTCCCTTGTGCTCTGAGCAGTGGACCAAGTGTCTGGAGACCTGGGTTCCAAGCCTGACCTGGCCACAAACAAATGGGTTGACATTGGATAAAAAAGCAATGTTCTTGGGCTGGGGCTGGGGCTCAGAGGCAGTGCACTTGCCTAGCATGTGTGAGGCACTGGGTTCAATTCTCAGCAACACATATAAATAAATAAAATAAAGGTCTATGCACAACTTAAAAAAAAAAAAAAGGGCATTGTTCTTTGAATCCAGCTCCCTCATTTCTAAAAGGTGGTAATTCCTCCCCTGCTGGCCTCCCAGAGTTGTACTGAGCCAATGGGTTGAGGTGGCTAAAAATGCTATGTGCATTCCCAGGAGTATGTTTTGCTGCTAGCCGGGGTGAGGGAAGGAGGCAAGAAGAAGGCAGGCAATTGGGAGATGGTGGACTGACTGCCAGCATCCCTTTGGGCAGCAAAGAGTGGTCAGCAGAAAACTGGGAAGCTACTGGGGTCCCACTCAGAAAGCAGGGGAGTCTGTTCCCTGCGGTGTTCATGGATAGGAGTGAGATGAAGACAGGACCGAGGACATGTGACCATCAAGGCCCTTCAGAGAATGATTTTGTCTCCCCCTGGCACAGGGAGTGGGTCCCTTATTGGTCTGGCTTCTCACCCCCAGGGCTATGTCTGGCTGTCCCCGAGAAAACTGTAAGATGGTGCGCTGTGTCAGATCATGAGGCCAACAAATGTGTGGCTTTCCGTGACAACATGAAGAAAATCCTTCCAGCCGATGGTCTCCGCATGGCTTGTGTGAAGAAGACGTCCTACGTGGATTGTATCAAAGCCATCGCGGTAAGTCACTGCTGCCTACAAGAGAGTAGATGTTTTGGAAATGCACACATTGCTCAATCACTTCAAAAATGGAATTCGGGGAGGTCATCTTTAGACATATTCATCTAAAAAAAAAATCAAAAGCCAATGTGCTCTGAAAGTTGACTTTTTGAGGTACAAAGGTCTGTGAATTCCGGGAAGAAATAAGAAAGTGTTCTATCATAATAATTATATGACCTCATTTGGAAGCTGGTGTCCTTTGGTGGTGCAGGGGATTGAACCCAGGGCCTTGCAGTGCTAAGCATGTTGTTCTACCACTGAGCTACATGGCCAGCCCTGGAAGTTCTTGATACATCCTTGGGAAGAAAATGAGGGATGCACACAGGGAGGGAGAATAGTATCCTGATTGCARATGAAGGCTGATCCCTTTGTTCTCGAGGTCTACAAAAATACTCTTCATCCCTTCTGTATATCCCCTGTGCAAATGAACATGTGTCACATCTTGTGCGGGGGTCATGGGCTGCAGAGGGGAGTTCAACACACGTGGTCTCTACCCTGAGGAGCTCACATCCTAGTCAGGAGAGAGGGAAAACACATGCATGAGTAAACAACTCATTTCAAAATGTGGTACAGACAAGGAAGGGAAAGAGGAGAGTGTTCTGACAGGGACTCACAGAGAAACCTGCTTTGGCCTGAGTGGTCAGGGACGGTCTCTTTGAGAGGCGAGCAGGGAAAATACACCAGGCTGTGTCTACCAGGCATTGAGGGTTCTACCTTCACACAGAGATAGGGAGACAGATGCCCTATCCTTCCTGATGGTTATATCTCAAAGGAATGGCTCTCAGGTCCTTGAGAGATGCTTCCAGAGTTACAAGACATAACAGATTCACAATTGTAAGCCTTTTTCACTGATTGCTCTTAGAAAGGGAGGTCAGGTGTGTTAGTGAAAGGAAATGTGAACATTCCTGCAGTGTCGCACTCTCTCAGGCAGGCATGTTGAGAGGGCTGGGTTGTCCTAGGGACATGGCCTCGTGCTTTTTGAAGCCATGCTGGAGTATGGTTAAGCCTTTTGGTGCAGGGCTTTGGATGGGCTTGTCACTCGCAGAAAGTTCTCTAGTTCTCTGAGCAAAGCAAGCGGGTGGAGATGGCTGGAAGGGAAGTGTGGAATAGGTAGATTCAGCCAGGTGGAAATCAGCACTGGTTTAAACAATTGGCCTGTTGTGTCCTTCCTGCTCCTGTATCAGTATCTTCTTGATGGCTTTGCCTCCCTGTCACCTGGCTTCTCCCCAGCACACTCGCTGTGGCTCACCTTCTTCTGGGTTTGTTCATCTGAACTGTGAGGTCAGGCTTGACCTCTTACTGGTCCAGGTTGCCCCTGGGAATCGCTGCCGCTCTTGTGTTGGGGCTCCTGTTTTAGGTCTGGGCTTCCTGACTTCTAGGGCCTTTGAGGCTCCAGTGACTCCTGTCCAAGGTTTTGGTGTCCTGGCCAAGTAAGTCCAGGTCCCTGACCACTCTCCAACCCCCACTGCACTGGGCAAAGCTCTTATTTGCTATTCACTTTGAGTCAGTGGCGTGAGGGGTAGGGTGGGGTGGGGAAGGTGCCAACAGGTTTAAATAACCACAAAGAGCTTTATATCTGGAGTGTAGTTGTGTGGAACACAAGGGTCCATTGTGTCTCCTGTTTATGACACTGAAAAGAGATGTATTGACAATCTAAAATTTTTTGATGTGCTTTGTCATATTAAAGATATGCTTTTATCCGGTTGGGTGTATAGCTCAGTGATAGAAAGCTTGCCTRTGAGGCCTAGGGTTTGGTGGGGACCACAGCACCGTGAACATATGTGCATGCATTCATGCACCCATGCACACAGATATGTTTTTACAACACAACTGCCTATAGGTGAGTGGGCAGATAATCAAAATGTGTGTGAGCAAGTGTATACACACACACACACACACACACTATGAGTTGTTTTCAGCCTTAAAAATGTATGAGATTCTGATACATGCTGCAGCATAGATGAACAGGAAAGTAAGCCAAATACAAAAGAACAAATGCTGCATGATTCCATTTTCATGAGGTGCCTACAACAGTCAAACTCATAAAGACAGGAAGTGGGATAATAGTTACCAGAGCCTAAGGTGGTGGGTGTGTGGAGCGGGGAGATGGGAAGAAACTATTTCATAGGCACAGAGTCGGTCTGAGAAGATAAAAAAGTAGGGGTGATAAACAACAATGTAAATGTGCCTAATGCCACTAAAATGTACACTTAAAAGGGTTGAAATGGTGAATTTTATGTTACATACATTTTATTATAATAAAACAATGAAAAAATCCAACAGAGATTGTGGCTCAGCAGCAGAGTGCTTACCTTGCATGTGTGAGGCACTGGGTTCAATCCTCAGCACCACATTAAATAAATAAACAAACAAACAAACAAATAAATGTATTGTGTCCATCTACAACTAAAAATATATATATTTAAAAAAATTTTTTTTCAACCAGAAAAAAGAGTTTGGCTTATGGCAGTTTTTATTTCACTTAGAAATACTTGTTTTTATTACTTACCTGTAACATGGCAAAGATCAAGGAGCTATGTAGTTTTGGCCTTATAATTTAATCAATAAGAACCGTTTATAGAGAACTAGCAAGCGCTTCTGGAAAAATCATTTTGATTAAAAATATCTGAAGCAGAAAAAAGGAGTGAAAATATGTTTTAAGGGTATATAAAACATGGTTTGGCTTACTGTAAGAATTCAAGAAAAGAAAGAAACTGTAGATGTAGTAGGAAGGCGGCTATAAAATTTCAAGTGACTTATTGATTTAAAGATGAGGATTCATAGAAGCACAAGGTAAACAAACAAAATCCCCGAAGAAGCAGTGAAGTGATAAAAAACAAATCCAAGCTTCCTGAACGCAAATCTCAGCCTCTTGACTTACTGTCTGTGGGGCCTGGGAAAGTGACTTAACCTTTATGAACCCCTGTTTTCTTACTTGTAAAATGGAGCTGAGATGGACAGGAAAGCTTCTAGGTGTCAAAGAAGACAACTATCCCCAAAATAAGCAAAAATGGGAGTAATGATGATCACTTAGTTTAACCATGTAGTTAGATCCAAAGATAGTGCTCAAACCTTGAATGAAAGCTTCCTGCAGCTTTATGGGCCCAGGACAGGAAGGAAAAGTATTGAGCACTGAGTCGGGGGGCATGGGGGGAGACAAGTGTCTTCGAGGTCTCCATCCCTGTCTAGAGGAAGGTCCCCACTAAGGCACCTGAGAAAGATCTCATGGAAGTCTCAAGACATAGGGGTCTCTGGGAAGGGAGCACGGCCATCCATAGGGTCCTGAGCTCTTTTTTATCGTTCCCTTCAGAGACTTCAGTGCAATGACTGTGCCCAGGTCTGGGACAGGGAGGGAAGATTTCTCCCACCAGACCTGCCAGGTCAACCCTTTGCAATTGCCCAGGGTACCAACCACATAGGATTTTTAGCCAGGAGTTGGACACTTCACCAGGGAAAAGAGAAAAATAACCCATTCCTTCCTCTATGCAGGAAAAGGAATATGGTGGCCAAGTGCTCATTTGAGGGTGATGGGGTCCACCAAATCTAGCAGTGTTGTGTGTGGTCTGGCCAAGTTGAGGGTTCTTCTGTCTCTAGGCCTGTGGAGCCCCGCTAGTCACTCCCTATTGGCTGGGTTTAGGCGGGCCTTCCTTGGAAGTGAGGGCTTCATCCTCAAGGTCTGGCCTGTTCTCTTGCAGGCAAATGAAGCAGATGCTGTGACCCTAGATGCGGGTTTGGTGTACGAGGCAGGCCTGACTCCCAACAACCTGAAGCCTGTGGCAGCAGAATTCTACGGGACACCAGAGAGTAAGTTCTTCTCGGGCCTCCAGGAGGGAGTCTGTGGCCCTCACCTTCTGGTAGATAATGAGTCTTGTATTTCACAGGCAGGCATTGGATATTAAATCCTAATAACTGTTCGTCTTTGGGGAAGAAGAGCCCTGTCGGTCACCTCAAGCACAGAGCACACCCTCTGTGGGCTTTGGACTGGTTGAGAGCTAGTGTACCTGATCTTGACCCACTGGGCCAATCATGTGCTCACTGGAGAAACAGAAGGCTAGGTCTGAGGGTCGTTGGGGGCTGGTGCTATGTCCAAGGACCCTGGAGGTCTTCTAGAACCACCGGTGCCATGTGTGTGGGAGAGCCCACTCTGGAACATGCCCTGGGACCTTAACAGCTCAGAAAGTGTGTTTTGAGACCAACTTGACAGTCCATGCCCATGGCAGGGGACAGGAAATACTTTGAGAGAGGTGGGGAATGGGACCCCTTGTACCCACAGCTTCAGTTCCCTGGTAGCCTTGGATGGGTAGATGTAGGCAAAAACACTGTAAGGCCAGGGTAGGTAGAACACTTTGGTGCTGGCCCCTGTGTTTGCCTGGAGGGATTACAAACACACCTTCTGTCTTTTCTTTCTCCTGAAAGCCTAGGAAGCTTTCCCTGACGCCCTCTTCATTGCCACCCAACTCAATAGAGACAACCTCTGGATTCCCCTTCTCTCCTCAAGAGCCTGGGGGACAGGTGCAGTGTTTTTCTGTGCCKGGTTAAGGGTCTTCCACTCATGCCATCCCTTTGCAGATCCACAAACCTTCTATTATGCTGTTGCCGTGGTGAAGAAGGGCAGTGGCTTCCAGCTGAACCAGCTCCGAGGCAAGAAGTCCTGCCACACAGGCCTGGGCAGGTCTGCTGGGTGGAACATCCCCATAGGCTTGCTTTACTGTAACTTACCTGAGCCCCGGAAGCCTCTTGAGAAAGGTAAGCTGGCCTCTCTACCCTGGATATACCTACCTAGGCCACGCAGGGGTCACACAGCTATGATCAGCTGAACATGTGGGCTGAACTCCATGTTGGAAGGGGAGGTAAACCACCTTGAATCTGGCAGGTCTGTTGCATCAGCTGCCCTTGGGAAGTGGCGGCTGAGCCTTTTCTGCTCTGAGCTCCCAACATTTCAGCAGAGGCTTTTCTGAGAAGGGGAAGAAAGAGAGCATCAGGGTCCTCAAAGGGTTTAGCCTGGACCGCAGGGCTGGGCCCTCTTGTTTACTTCCCTAGAGTTTCTGTCTGGGATGATGTGTGCCCCGTTCTGCTGGAGGCTGCTCTGGTGACTGTCTGCTGGCCATGAGGTTGGCCGGCACTCCTCTGGGAAGTCCTCCCATTTCTAGTGTATGGGTCCCAGAGGGACCTCTGGAAACTGATCCAGCCTCTCACAGGGCAGGGAAGGGGCCTAGACCTGTTTCCTTGGTTGGGTGKTTGCAGGACAGGGGTTCACTTGTTCCTGTTTGAAAACCCTGGATTCTGACAAGTTAACACAAGTAAGACTGAGCTGGGACTGGGATGGTTGGTTTTATTTTAACCCCCTTCACCCTGTTTTCTGGTGAATGGAGGCTGGGCGACGCCATTGGCTTTGGCCAGCCTCRCTTATGCCTTGTGGTCCATTTCTCTGTGTTGAGCAGCAGTGGCCAGTTTCTTCTCGGGCAGCTGCGTCCCGTGTGCAGATGGAGTCGCCTTCCCTCAACTGTGCCAGCTGTGTCCAGGGTGTGGCTGCTCCACTGCTCAACCATACTTCGGCTACTCAGGCGCCTTCAAGTGAGTAAGACTGACCACTGCCCCCTGCTGGCCAAAGTGCCAAATGTCCTCAGAGTTCTTTGCTAGCCCCAAGTAGAGCCCCGCTTGCCTATTAGGAAGTCCCAACTGCTCCCAGTGAGATGGTGGTACCTCTGGGATTCCAGAGGCCAGGACAGCCCCTTTCCCTGATGATCAGTCCCCTCTTTGGGGGTCCTTTCTTTCTCCTCACAGCCCTGAAGCCTGGCTAATGTCTCCTCTTGCTGGACTGAGCAGAGTCTGAAAGGACAGGCATGTCCCTAGTGACAGGCAGGCAGGCTCACCATACAGTGACCACCTTACAGTGACTCACCATGCAGCAGTATAACAGGCTCCAAGCACCTACCTCCCCTACCTCCCCTTAATTCCCCTATCTAGAAGCCCATGTGGCTGGTTTCTTGCTCCCTGATTTTGTCTTGGCTATATCCTAAAGTTTTATCATAAACCAAGGGCACTTTTCTACCCTTAAGAGAAGGTAGACATACCAGGACTCAAAGAATATTTTTTTAACATTAAAATACCTTCAATTTGTTCTTGTTGCTTTTGGACAACATAAGGTACAGGACCTTTCATCTCCTGGGAATCAATCACCTCTCCCATCCCACTGGTATCCTGAATATCAGCTCCCCATGGTGCTGCCTCAGAGGCTTCTCCAAGACTCTGTTTCCATTTGAGGGCTGGAAAGTGGGATCAGACCCTCCTGGTGCCCAAGAGTGTTTTGTAAGAGTGTTCTAATGTGTTTCTTTCACACAGGTGTCTGAAAGACGATGCTGGGGAGGTGGCCTTTGTCAAACACTTGACCATATTTGGTAAGTGATGGAAGAAGATTCTGGAAGTTCCTCTCTAAGGAGTGAGAGTTCTTCTTCCTTGCCCGCTTTTCCATGCTCACTAGGTAGACAGGGGCATACAGTGTTTCTCTTGTATCATTGCTTGGGTTTCTTCCTGTGCAGAGGTTGGTACTTTTGGGTTCCCCATCTGGATTCTTGGGCCTTTTTGCATTATACAGCCTCTTTACACAAGTTAATCTGCCTCTGGGGCAGTATACCTGTATCTAAGGATTGGGAGCTAGTCTGGCTGACCTTGACCTGTCAGTCATCCTGATGAGATCAGACGCATGGGATGTGGGACAGTTTTGCTGCACGGATATCAGAAGTCTGCAGGCCTTCATCTGGCTGCGCAGTCATTTTCCTGCATGTTCCATGGTCCTCAGGGTTCACTCAAAACCTCTCAGCTCCCACTTTCTGTTATCAACAGGATTGCAGGGGAGAGTAGGGGGCACCCTAGTTCCACCAGCAATTGGCTCATCTGGACTTTCCTTCCCCAGAGAACCTGGAACAGAAGGCTGACAGGGACCAGTATGAGCTGCTTTGCCCAGACAACACCCGGAAGCCTGTGGATGAATATGAGAATTGCCACTTGGCCCGGGTTCCTTCTCATGCTGTCGTGGCTCGAACCGTGGATGGCAAGGAAGATCTGATCTGGGAGCTTCTCAACCAGGCTCAGGTATCCCCACCCACCATCCTCTCCCCTGCTTAGAGCCCTCTGCTTGGATTTGGGAAAGTTTTCTTCTCACCTTCTGGTCACTATGTGCCAGGACACAGTAGGAACCCTGCCACACATAATCAGCTTCTCAAGAAGCCCCTGAATTGGGACTCCTCACACGGCAGCAGGGAACCTCCTTTGGTATTACCATCCACCACCCTTTGCCTTTTTGACTGGTGACATCTGAAGAGGGTCCTGTTGTTCTAGTTCATTCCCTTCCCTCTAAACCAGGCCTTCAAGGCCCAGGGCAAACACCAACACCTCCATGAAGACTCTCATGACCCTCCTTCTGTAAACAACCTCTCTCCCAATGTCTGATTCCCTGATTGCACATCTCCAGCCAGTACTTTGGCCAACATGGGCCATAATGAAGTTGGAGTTCTAGAAAGGTGAATCCCGGTCCAGAATCTTCATTGGGTCACTGTGGTTTTGTGTGATCATTCATTCACTCAATGGAAGCTGCTTGCACTGCTCATTTTACCCCTCTGGAGAGGTGGTGTTTAAGGTCAAGCCAACCTTCTCTCCTTCAGCCCTCACATCTCCCCTTGGAGGGTTTATACCCTGCCAGCCTTTGGATGAGATGCATTTCTTGTTCTCAATGAGCCTCTCTCAACCATTCAGGAAGACAGGCCTGAAACCCACTCAGGGAAACAATGTGGCATGGTCCTAAGAAGGCAGTGAGCAGAGACGATGCTAGGTGGGCAACAGCACTCCTGACTGTCCTCTCTCCTGACATCTTGAAGTTTCTCTTTCTTTTTTTTTTTTTTTAATTTTATTTCTGAGGTTTTTTTTGTCTCCTCTTTGATTCCATTTTTTGGCTTCTCTTCCTCCCTGTGGCCATTCACTATTCATTTTACTGTGAACAGGAACATTTCGGCAAAGGCAAATCTGGCGACTTCCAGCTGTTCAGCTCTCCTCATGGGAAGAACCTGCTGTTTAAGGACTCTGCCCTGGGATTCCTTAGGGTGCCCCCTAAGATGGACTTTAGACTGTACTTGGGCTATGAGTATGTTACTGCCGTCCGGAATCTACGGGAAGGCATATGTAAGTACTCAGGAAGGACCAGCTTGAGAAATTTGGCAAGGGCAGGGTTTAGGGATAGAATCTTTCCAGGGACCAAAGCCTCTCCTGGTGTTTCTTTCTTCTGCCCTTCCTGTGAGCTAAATGGCCTTGGCCATGATGGACCGGACATCACCAAAGGCTTTAAAGGAAATTCATAATGTACATGACTTGGGTTGTCACTAATATTATTTCCCTTGCATAAATCAGGATTGCCCTATTCACTTTGTGAATGGGCACAAAATAAGTAAAATAAAAATGAAGTTTCTACAGATTCCACATCTCCAGCCAGCACTATGGCCAACATGGGCCATAATAAAGTTGGAGTTCTAGAAAGGTGGATCCCGGTCCAGAATCTCATTGGGTCACTGTGGTTTTGAGTGATCATTCATTCACTCAATGGACATGCATCGAATATATAGCCATGGGCTCTGCTAAGTGCTGGACATACAAACATATATTAGATTCTGCTGCCCTAGAACTTTCAGACCAGGGAGAAGACAAATGTTGGATGAGTAGTCCCATAATTGAATGATCAATTACAAATGAAAGATCTGCTTAGGAGGGGAGTGCAATAACAAGAAATTACTGTGGTCCTAAAAAGAATGCAAAATAAGTCAAAATAGGCCCTGGCCTGGGGGTGGAGGTGAGGCCCCTGAGGAAGTGACTTGGGGACTGAGTCTGAAAGATGAAAAGTTGTCCATTTTTTTTTTTTAATTGCACTGACCGTGTGCTCCTGCTGCTTCAGTAGACACCAGGCAACAGCAGGGGGCCTCTCTCTTCTGAATTCTGGTTCTTTTTCTTGTGCTACAGGCCCAGAAAGCCCAGTGGATGAATGCAAGACCGTGAAGTGGTGTGCACTTAGCCATCACGAGAGGCTCAAGTGCGATGAGTGGAGCATCAACAGTGGAGGGAAAATAGTGTGTGAATCGGCAGAGACCACTGAGGATTGCATTACCAAGATCATGGTATGTCACTCTCCCCTCCCTAGGGCAGCCTCCCTGCTGTTGCTACCTGCTGGCCACTACTAAGGCTGAGCTGGGAGGGATGAGGAAACCCTGGTTTCCAGGATCCTTGCACTGACTGTATGAGCACGGCAGCCCCAGAAGGTTCAGAACCTTAGTTTGTGGATCTGAAGGATGCCTGTAGGACTCAGGCAAGCTAAGCCATGTCCTGCTGATAGTGTGAGTGTCTGGGGACCTATGGGCTGCCATGATGAGTGTGGTAGGATTCTGTATTGATTTTGTAGGCAGATACAAGTTGCTTCATTGATTATAAGAGTATTCCATGTTTGCTTCTAGAGAATTTTGGAAAATCCTGAATGATATAATGAAGAAAATCAAAAGTACTTATAATCATGTAACTCAGAGAAAATTATTGAATTGGGATCATATCATATAGGTTGCTTACGATCTTTTACTCACCCTATGATATCTAAGTAGCTTTTCCCATATTATCAACCATTCTTTAAAAAATGTGATTTGGAGCCTCTGTGTTGATGCATACATCGAGGTGCTAGCAGGGTGGCATGTTTGGCGAGGGCAAGAGAGCTCCAAGCTTCTGAATCCCCTCCACCCCCCAGTTCTTTGCCCTGTGCATCGCTTCCTTTTGCTGTTCTTGAGTTAGGTCTTTTATATTGAATCGGTAAGGTGCATATCTTAAAGGCACTAGGACTTCCTTCCATCATCACTAATTCTTGCTAAAATCTGTCAATTCTACTTTTGAGCACTTATGAATAACCACATAATTTTATGTGAAATTATGAAATGAAAACCAGACTATCAACCTCATTCTTTTACATTTCATACATCTTAAAATATTGCTTTATACTATTTTAACATATATTCCATTTTATTTATTTATTTTTTGTCTGAATCAAGACAAGAAAAATCAAACCAAATTAAAGCAAAGCCCATCATCTCAAAACCTGAGTCTATCTACCGATCTGTTAACAGCTTGGATAATTTGTCTTCAGTATTACATGTTGGATGGATGCACTAGCTGCAAAATAAATTCATGTATGCAAAAACAAATTTAAGTAATGCAAGACTCTTGGGAATACATGAAATCTTAAATAAGGAAGACAAAATTCAACCAAATAGAAACATTTTTTAAGAGTTATTCTTGGACACTATAATTTGTGCTTTCCTAAAATGTCATCATGAGCCTTTACTTTTGGAGATAATTTACAGATGTTGGGATGGAAAGCAAGGACCAAAATCAGCATATTTGCTTAGAGAGCTCAGTGGCTGATTGCTGCACAAGTGTATTTCTTGGGTAACAATCAGCTTATTACATGATATGCTACCTTAAGAGGTCCAGGATTTGTTCATGGATTAGATGAAACAGAAGTGACCAACATCAGTGCTAGTAAGAACTCTTGCAAACAAAATTGAAGGACATAGTTTATTAGGTCCCACACCTGTGACACATCATCACTGTTGATGGGAAACCACTGCACTGGCCAAGTTTTACAAAGATGTTACCATGCATGTCATGACTGCAGGAGAAAGTGAAGGTGAGCATGGAAAACAGATTTCACAGGGAACCAGATTCTTTAGACATTGCAGTAACTGTGCACATAAGTGAATGCACAGGCTTCTTTAATAAGGGATCCATGATCTCCCATCGTAATGTTACTGTTATAATCAGAATGATGGAACAAATTCCACGGCCATGAGAAGATGCTTTCCTTGGATATTTGCCTGTTCCGCATTCTAGAATTAATATTGAGCTTGTCTGTCTTTCTTATGGATGTCTAATTGGCAATTCCTCCAGACTTTTAGTGAATCCATCTTTACAAATAAAGAGAGGAAACCAGGCGTGGTGGCACATGCCTATAATCCCAGTGGCTCGGGAGGCTGAGGCAGGAGGATCGTGAGTTCAAAGTCAGCCTCAGCAAAAGTGAGGTGCTAAGCAACTCAGTGAGACCCTGTTTCTAAATAAAATCCAAAATAGGGCTGGGGATGTGGCTCAGTGGTTGAGTTCAATCCCTGGTACACCCCACTACCAAAAAAAAAAAAAAAAAAAGAGAGAGAGAGAGAGAGAGAGAGAGAGAGGAGGAAAAGGGGCTATATCTAGGTTGAAAGCAACACTGATGGCAGCCGTTCTAGAAATCATAGCTCAGACCTACAAAAATATCATGAAGAAAGTGGATGAAATGATTACTTTTCAATATGATCTGTTTATTATGGCCTATGAGTATAAAATGGAACAGACTTCAAAAGGGCACAGCACTCCACTGTGTAAGCTTTGTTTTCTGGACATCTCAGTGCTCACTAGGTGGAAATAGGCTTCTTTTGTGTGGAGGTGCTCCACTTTCTGCAGCCATGCAGATTCAGATTCATGCTGTCTGGTTTTGCTCTCCTGCTGGTCAAGGCCATGGACTCACTGGATTTGCTCCAGCTGGATCACTTGGACAAGGGTGGTGGGCTTACAATATCGGGAGAAGTGTGAGTCCCATGAGTTTGCTGTGAAATGAAAGTAAAGAACTGGAAGGAAGGTGGACACCTTAATAGTGGTAAACCACACCCCAGAAKTGAAATTCTTATTGGTGGCCAACATGTGACAATGAGATTTTTTTTTTTTTTTTGCAAAAATGGAGCAAAAACAAAAGCAGATATTTCTGAAGATGAACACGGACAGAAGTGGCTCTGTAYTAGAGATCTTGAAGAATTTGACAGTTGTTGAAAGACCATTGATCATGAAAAGGACTTTGTTAAAAAAAAAAAAACTACAGGCAGGAGAATATGTTTCTCTTGGTAAAGTAGAAGCAGCTCTAACACTCCCACTAATAGATGACATTTGTGCATGTGCAAACAGAGATCATTCTCTGTCAGTGGATTTCTGGTGCCAAATCCAAAAGAGGAACTAATCTCAAGAGAAAGGACTTAAAGGGACTTGGGAAGAACTCACAGTTGCCAGAAAGACAATGAGATACAGGTACTCTCCGAAGCTGCTATTTCAGCAAATCTGGAAAAGTTTAAAATGTGTTAAAAATTAATATGAGCCCTGATTTGTGAGCTCTGAAACTGTTCTGGTGACAGAGCCTTCAAGCTGAAATGCAAAGAGCTTAAAAGGAAGAAAGTGAGCAAATGTATGGAAGGAAAGAACTCTGCTCCTTCAGCACCATTTGCTACATTGAGCTCGGATCAAATGGGAAAATACTTGCAATACTAGTCTTAGCCCTTGAGGTACACTCCACTCTTCACCTTCAACCTAATCCATTATTGCTAGAGACATCACCATTTTTAACCGACAGGATAGGTAGGGTATTAAGAGGGCATTTTTTGGTATATCTCTTCTTTCTTTTTCCCCTCCTACAATATGCCACCTATAGTTAGAATAAGTATGTTTCTGAGATGTATTGGGAAAGCAGTATTTCAAAACTTCAAGTTTTCAAACACTATATATGTTGGTCATGTTTTAAAGTTTAGATGTGTGGAGGAAGATTAAAAAAAACATGAGCTGGTTACTTACAGTATTTATATATTAATTTAAAATTATGTAAATTTCAAATGCTTATGAATCAAATCATTGTTGAAAAGGTTTTTTTTTTTTGCTGTATAATGATTCTTGTCTGCATTGAGAGAAACAAATATGCCCATAGTTGTCTTTTAAAGAAAAACATGATATTTTCATGTTGATAACTATTCTATAGTATGGATAGGCTGCAATTTATTTAGCCATTTCTTGTCACTGAGCATAGTTTGGGTCTTCTTTTTGCTTTATAAATCACATTTGTTATTTTTCTCACTTATACATTTTGCCCAAATAATTGTCCACATATCTGATTATTCCTTTATGGTATATTGCTATKAAGTATTTAGCCAGGGGAATATTCCAAGGAAAGTGTTGTAAATCTTCTAAAAAATTTTTATTGGTGCATTATGATTGTACATAATAGTGGGATTCATTGTGATATGTAGGTACATGCATATAATTTGGTCAATTTCCTTCCCCAGTACTTCTCCTTTCTCTCCCCTCACTCTCCCCTGTACTCCACTGCTCTCAGTTCTATTTTTATGAGATCCATCCCCTCCTCCCACTTTTTTCCCCTCTTTCTAGCTTCCACATGGAAATCTTGCAAATTTTGTTAAATCCAAGCATCTCTGAAATTTGGGACTTATTAGCTCYGAGTACTAGATCATTTGCAAATATTTGACTCACTCATCAAACATCTGTTGGGCACTCAGCACTGAAATAGCACCCCGTCAATGGGACTAAAATGAAAAGTCAGAGCTCCATCCAGAGGTGCTTTGTTCCACAGACACATCCCCAACTGCACCCCTCCATCTCTCAGATGAGATGCTTAGGGTCAAAAAGATGTTGTCGGAACATCTTGGGGACAGTGAGTTCTATGAGAAGACAGGAGGATTGAATATGGGTCTTTGTTCTTGAATAAACTCAGTAAGACATGTGGCCTTGATCTTCAGTTCATGATGCTTATACTGGTTGGGTGAACATGAGCGTACATTTTATTTTCTATATTGGGCCTGCCTGACTGATCCATTTGGGTTCAGTACCAGCACCCACTGTTTCTCTGGCATTCACAGCTGGTGCTGGGAAAGCCCTTCAAGGAAACAGCTGGAAGGGCAGGTGGCACAGAAAATGGCATCTTTTCATCTGTTGTGATTCATTGTGTCTTTGCAGAATGGAGAAGCAGATGCCATGAGCTTGGATGGAGGCTATATCTACATTGCAGGCCAGTGTGGTCTGATGCCTGTCATGGCGGAGAACTATAGTAAGTACAGAGTGCTGTTTTGTTTGTTTGTTTTGTTTTTCATTTCTTCAAAGCACTTTATTTATGTTCTTGTCTACCATTAACTTTTTATTATTTATTTTTATTTAATTCATTTTATTTTTTTAAAATACACGACAGTGGAATGCATTACAATTCTTATTACACATAGACAGCACAATTTTTCATATCTCTGGTTGTATATAAAGTAGGTTGACACCCAATTCGTGTCTTCATAAATGTACTTTGGATAATGATGTCTATCACATTCCACCATCCTTGCTAATCCCCTGTCTCCTCCCTTTCCTTCCATCCCCTTTTCCCTATCTAGAATTCATCTATTTCTCCCCTGTTCCCCCTCCCTACCCCACTATGAGTCAGCCTCCTTATATCAGAGAAAACTTTTTGACATTTGTTTTTGGGGGGATTGGCTAACTTCATTTAGCATTATCTTCTCCAATGCCATTCATTTATCTGCAAATGCCATGATTTTATTCTCTTTTATTGCTGAGTAAAATTTCATTGTGTATATATGCCACATTTTTTTTTATCCATTCATCCACTGAAGGGCATCTAGGTTGGCTCCACAGTTTAGCTATTGTGAATTGTGCTGCTATAAACATTGATGTGGTTTTATTCCTCCTGGGCCATGGAGAGGAAAGATGGAAAAGGCATAGACTGATTCACACCATGGCTATCTTAAAGCTCTCCTCTCCTGAGAGCCTTCTACTTCCAAGTTGCTGGGTTCCCTCACATAGGATCCCCACAGTCATCTGAAAAGATGACAGCTATCATACCCTCCAGCTCTATGGAAGCTCTATGCTGTGAAGTTTCTGCTAAAAGTGACTTGTCTGCACAGAGCAGGGGGGATTCCTGGCAGGTCTTTCAGTTTCCAGAACTCATGCTTCTTACTGCTGCCTGGTTGCAGGGATTTAAATATAGCCAGCAGGCACCCCTCTGTAGGCTCTGTTCAGACAGAGCAGGAAATGTGAGATTCACAGTTTGTGGATAGATTTTAGAGGCCAATAGCTGAATGAACTTGCTGGGGATTTGGTGACATGTATAGATTTAGCTCTTTTTTGTTCATAGTTGCTACATGAGACAGGCATGATTTTCTAATCTGTATATGTTTAATGCCTTCTTCATTTTATTTCCTGCAGAAAGTGCCAATTGTAAATTACAGGAGGAAGGTGAGTTGGAATTGGTACCCTTGGGGATTATAAGGTAAATTCCCCTGTTTGGGGGAAGGGGTTGGTAAGTTTGAAATTTAAATCACAAGTAGATAAGGCAATGGAAGAGATAAATTTTTAGAATGCAGAAGTGTTATGGAAGGTAGTAATTAATAATGCTGGTTATTCCTTTACATTTGCCATAACTTGTACAAAGGATTTCTCATTTAATCATATAAGGCAGGCATCTTCTAAGGATGCACAGAGGACCCTGGGGCTCAGAGAGCTTACAGATTGTTTAGGGACATATATCTAAAAAGCAAATCCCACAGCTTCCCACCATCTTGAATTACATGAGACCTGCACATTTTTAGATAAGAGAACTATACAAAGAACCTTGCTTATGTGCTCCTTAAAGGGCTGAGAGTCTTACAAAGGTAGGTGTCCAGGAACAGGAAATTACCTGGCCCCAGGAACCCAGGCCAACCTGGCTCTTGCCGGGGCTCTGGCTAGGGGTGAATCAGGAAAGATGGGGCAGGCACAAGTTAGAAAATATTATACCAAGGTGAGCACTGGGCCTTGTGCTCAGGTCCCTGAGGGTCATATTCCAGATGGCTGTCCATATGTGAGCCTGTCCTTGTCCCTTCTGCTGAATACAACCTCCTAGTCTCTCCCATCACTCAAGGAGTCAAGCTCTTTAGCAGATCTGGAAAGAGCCATTCTTATCCTGTGGAGAGTAAATATTATGTTTTAATTACTGGTCTTTTATTACATTCTCCCAATGAGTGTTAATTTGTGAAATGTTGGGCATTACATTAGCTGTTCAGTTTCCACTCCTCTGATATAGTACATTGGAGGGTGAACTGCTGTTTTTTCACTTCAATGACTTTGTGCATTCAGGAAAGGGTTGTACACTAGCTATTGCTTTAATAATAATGTATTCTTAGTATTTGAGGGTTTGTGTTTATTTTTTAACTGATACCTAAAAACATAAAAACTGTACTTAATAAAGGGGAGTGGTTATCATAGTATTTTGTTTTTGAGGTTCAGATTCAGCTTTTCCCTACAGAATGCCTTGTCCTTCACCACAGTCAGTTATTGCAGAGATCCTTTCAAGATACTCTGAACGATTCAGGCCATCTTTGCCACCATAGGGAGATGGTGGCTTTAATTTGAAGCAAACACTTTGGAGGCTACACATCCTTTCTGGTATCTTTCTTATAGGATATTATGCTGTGGCAGTGGTAAAGAAATCAGATGCTGATATCACCTGGAACTCTTTGAAGGGCAAGAAGTCCTGCCACACAGCAGTAGACAGGACAGCTGGCTGGAACATTCCCATGGGCCTGCTCTATAGCCGAATCAACCACTGCAGATTTGGTGAGCAAATCCAGCAAGGGACACACTGGAAAGAAAGGTCCTGGGGAAGAGGAATGCAGTCCAAGATGCTGTGGGCCCTGGTTCTATGGAAGTAAAATTTGGTAAAAGTAAACTTTAAGGAAATATCAGAAAAGACTAGGAGAGCTGAAGGGTTCGGGAGCTGGGCCAGGATGGTTCATTTCAGTCGTACATAATGGCTTAAGTGAATCTATGTTTACTTTTATCCCTCCTGAAGAAGACCAGAGGAGTGCAGACCATGGTAGGCATGGTCAGGAGGGCTCCTTCCTTCTTTCTGTTCCATTATTCCCAGGACGAGGCTTCCATGTTCAAGGCCACCCTATGATCCATCACATTCATGATCCAGGCAGCCCCAAGCACCAAGGAGTTAGAGCCAGATGCTGTCAGAAAGAAGCCTTTTAGGATGCCTASTTGATTACTTCCGCTAACTCCCCATTGCTCAGAACTTGAGTATATCACCACTCCTAGCTATAAAAGAGAAATATAATCAATCATTGGGTGTGTTCCTATATCAAATAAGACTAGATATTTGTTACTAAGAAACAAAGGGCAATGAACATTGGATAGAGAGCTAGCAATCTTTGCCACAGGGGTTTTGGACAAGTGTGGGTAGTCCTAGGTCTCTGAAGGTGTTAGCAGTCTCACTGAGTCACTGACCAGCTCCTAGGGTTCTCCTAAGGGGTAGATCCCAGCTTATTCTCTGTGTCCTCTGAGCATGATTAGGTAGGAGTTTATTTCTATCTCCTTAAACTTTTCGGTGTAAAGATCCCCAGAGCAAATGCTTTGCAATGCTTTTGATTTGCACTATCTTCCTGAGTACTTCCTCTCTGCCGCCTCCAAATTTGGGCAACTCCTTAAAATGGAGAAGCCTCTAAATCTTGTATGTGGRGACTGGAGATGGGAGCACATCTCTGCACCAGGGTGCTTTTTTGGGACACCTGTTTGACATGAAGCAAAGTGCAGCTGTGGCCACATTCAGAAAGCTTGGGCTCCCTATCAGCAAAGGACTGCTTACACTCTCTTGAGCCTCCTGGTGCATTTACAGTCATGGGTGAGCAGCTGAACTGCAAGGAAAACTCCCCATCCCTTTCTTGAGCTTGAAGACATAGGAAAGTCTCTCCTAATGAACAGCAGRGAGAAAGGATATCTGAAAACAGATGGCACAAGCTCAGGAATCCTATTTCTTCTCTCTTTTGCTGGTGGTGACACCATCATGGTGCTCAAGGGCATCCCCTCCACCATGAAAGGCACTGGTCATAAACTCCTTTTCCCAACCTCATTAAATTTCCTTTTAAAACCTATAGCTTAGCAATTCTGAGTTGGTGGGTGGCAGATCACAGAATGAATTAATATGTTCTCTCTTTCCTAGACCTTGTGGCCCTATTATGTGTTAGATAAGAGCTATTTATAGTGACTCAGAAGAGCTGATTTCCTCCTCTTCTTTTTTTTTTTTTGGGGGGGGGGTTTTGAGGATTGAACCCAGGGCCTTGTATATGTGAGGCAAACACTAGACCAAATGAGCTATATCCCCAGCCCTGACTTCTTATCCTTCTTTGCAGATGAATTTTTCAGTCAAGGCTGTGCCCCTGGGTATGAGAAAAATTCCAGTCTCTGTGAGTTGTGCATTGGCCCAAGTGTTTGTGCTTCCAACAGCAAGGAGGCATATTATGGCTACACAGGGGCTTTCAGGTGAGTCTTTTAATCCTAACACAATTATAACAACATCCCAACCTGACCAGACTCCTTTCAGGAACTAAGGCGAGATTCTCAAATATTAGTTCATTAAGTACTATATGTATTAGGGAAGAAAATTCTGCAACCAAATGTAGAACTGTTTGTGAAGGGGCACCAGGCTCCTCGAGGGCACTGTCTGCCAGACCTGGCTGTCTATGACTTCTAGGTATGGCTTATCAGTTCTCACTTAGAAGTTTGTCCTCCAGGAGACATTTGGCAATGTCTAGAGACATTTTTGATTGACAATTTTGGGAAGAGTGTGCTATTAGCATCCCATGGGTAGCTAAATATTGAATAATGCATAGGACAATAAAATAGAAGAAAGGATTATCTAGTCCCAAATGTCACTACTGCCAATGCAAAAATAAACCTTACTCTACACTGAGTCAGGAGTTTGGCTCAGGCTTTTTCATGCACCTTGGGGGAAACCTAGAACTAGACTCATCTGAAAGTACAGAGTAGTGAAGTACATAATTTCTAAATTTCCTCACTACATTCATACTTTATAGAATGTCTATCATTTTTTAAAAAATATTTTTAGATGTTAATGGACCTTTATTTTATTCATTTATTTATATGCAGTGCTGAGAATCAAACCCAGTGCCCACCTGTGCTAAGCAATCACTCTACCACTGAGCCACAACCCCAGCCCCAGAATGCCTATCATTTTTAAAGAGACACCTGTGTACCTTACTACATTACTACTTTTTAGCTATGCTTTCTGCTTCAGGCCTCCTGTCATCTTGGTAGTTCACAAATCCATGAACTGCATATAATGGTGGTATTATACTTGAATTTCCCAGTAGTGGAGGGAAAAACAAAGGTCATCCCTATTTTCCAGTTACAGCCACTATGTAAGTTAACAGCAAGTTCTATTCATACTCCAATTATTCACATTTCTAATTGTACAAAATGGAGTGCATTGTTTTTATGGGGACTTAAGAGTTTGGGGGGACTTAAAGTATAGTACCCCTTTGACAATTACCTTATCTTTTTCTGATGGTAATGTTTGAGAATTATAGGTCAGGAGAAATGGCTCAAACTTTGCTTACATAATGTGCCTTGAAGGCTTCTTTGTTCCAGAAATAGCTTATAAAACATTAAGTTATGACATAAAACATATCAAACTGACAGATTCTGAACACAAAAGAAAATGAAATGCAATTAATACAGGGCACAGCAGATGCCCATTTTTTCAGCTAGTTATCCCCCAAACTCTTAAACAGCTGCAGGAAGAATCAGGTTATTTCCCTGAGGAAATAGGGTCAAGGAAGCTGGAGAGCAGCACTAGGCCTATCATATAGGAATCTGATCCATCTGTATCTTTTGAGTAGGGCCTTGTGCAGATGCTGGAGCACACACTAGTTTGTCATGTGCTGTGCATTTTCAGAGAATTGCAGTAAAAAGCAATAACATATCCACACTCATGCAGAGTTAATTTTGTTAGTTTGTTTTTGAGGACTTAGAAGCTTCTTGGGGAAAAGAAGCTTAGAACCTCAGACTTGTGGTTCACAACCTCCAATACCTTGCCCAGGGCTATGTGGATTGAGATTTAGTCGAATTGAGTGCCTTCATACCAGGTTTTGCCACATTCTCTGTATTTTTCAAATAAATGAAAACAAAATGTCCAAAAAATGTCCAAATTGATCCCTGAATATTAATTTTTTGGAAGGGGTGAAGGGTATCCCAGATTGAAATTTCTAATGGTTTCAGTTTCTCACAAATGTAGTATCAGCATTTACATCTTCCAAAATCTGAAGTAATGGAGTTTTTTTGCTCACATTTCATATACTGGGGAGACATTACCTCTCTGGAAAACCAGTTCTCTCTTCCTTGTGTAGAAATTAGRAAAAAGATGCAATCTGTTGAAGAAACTGTACTAAAAACTCATGCTTAGTTGATGGACCCAAAGTTATATCATTGTACAGCAATTTAGAGCCTTTTGGTTTTTCATTCCTTATGTTGCTTAGCGACAGAGAAGAAGTTACCATTGCTGGTATCAGCTGGCTATCCTGGATCTATAATGTGAGTGACATGGGTCGGTCTGATCACCTCTCTTCTCTCTCCCCTTGTCTGGACCTCTGCAGGTGTCTGGTTGAGAAGGGAGATGTGGCCTTTGTGAAAGACCAGACTGTTAAGCAAAATACTGATGGTAAGTGCACATACTTTTGTGTCCCCATAAAATCTGGATCACTAGAAAAAAAAATGATATGCAGGGATGACTTTRGAGAAGTATCACAGACACTGACAGGTTGCAAAGCTTTAATGCTCAACCTGGGTCTTCAGTGAAGAGAGAAGCATTCATCTGGATAGCACAATAATAAAGCCCATAGTGTTCCCAATGGCCCTAAATCCTCCCTGTCCACAGCTTCAGGCCTGGCTCTCCTTTTCTCTAAATACCTTAGTGCCTATTTTCCAAGAACAAGGCATTCTCTTAGATATCTATAGTACAGTTATCAGGATCAGAAATTTTACATTACGTGGATTTCATCCCACATAGTACATATTTAGGACTTGTCAATCATTCCAATAATGCCCATGATAGCTATATTTTTTTTATATTTTTCTGCTCCATGCACTGAGAAGGCCTAGAAATAATCACATACCAGTAGCAATGAGCATCAAGATATTGGCTTCTAAATTCTATTCTCTGCAAAAAGGAACCAGAATTCCTTGGAAGGACTCAAAAATGACAGATGCATATCTCTTTCTCTCAAAAAAAAAAGTGATGACATGAATCAAAACTTCAGGAGACAATTGGAAAGACCTCCCACCACCAAATCCGGGAATTTTGAACATTCTAATAAATAATAATAGCAGAAGAGGATAGTAACACACAGAATGAGGTAGGAATCCATGAAGCGAAACTGCTGAGACAAAGGAGGGAAAGCTCTTCCTCATCATAGAATGCTAATTAACAAATGTAGAAGGAATAGGAAAGACAGAAAAGCCCAGTATCTCTATTTCACAAGGTTTCATTTTCAGGCAGAGTACCCCAGCCWTGTAGGCTCAACTTGCATAAATCCAAATTCCTTGTCCTTCTCTCAGAGTTCCCTTCTCTTCTCATAGTCTCTATCCCTATAGAGAATCTTGTTATACTTCCTGCCAATCACAACCAGATTGAGCCTGTCAGTCAGTCTTATATTATCTCTCAAAAAATGTGCTGTGGTAGGTTATGGTATAGAAGAAGCAAGACACAAAACCACATGGGCTCTTGATTTTATGTATATATGTGTGTATATGTTGCAATCATGTGTAGTAAAAATACTAGATGAAATGTAATCATTTTGAAGGAATATGCTGTGGAATTATAAATGTTTCAAAATTTTCTTCCAGACACCATATAGCATTCTACAAATTCTTACAGACATTCTTACTTTGATCTTTCTAGAAATAAAACAAGTCTTCACCAGACTCATGCTGAGCACCTCACTCACTGCCCTTTAGAGCTTGGCCATCTCATYTGTTTGGCCACACTGCCCAAGATTCTGTTCCAGAATCACCAGGCACACACTTGTTCCTGAGTCTTCCCTGTGTTATCCTTTCCTTCCACATAGAAGGATCCTTTCTCCACCTCTCATCCTATGCATTATACAAAACACACCTAAAACCTTGCCTCCTCCAACTAGCTTCCCTAATCGATCTGCTTTTGAAGCCCTGGTTCTGAATTTGCACAGCATTTAGAGTGTGCTCCACAAAATTTAGTAGACACTTCACTCTGGATTATTTGCCTTTGGTATGTGTGTTATTTTCTTAGCTCCAAAGACGTTCCTTGCAAAGGGCTGAGACTATATAGTATTACTCAATAAATACTTGAATTTCCAAATAGAACAGAACAGATTTGGATGGAAAGCTGATGGATTCTATTTGAAAGATGTGAATTTTGACCAATAGGCAAGAAAGGGAAGGAGAAGTGTTAGCAAGTGCTCAAAGGTGTTTGTGTATCTTAGGGTTGTGRTGAGGAGGGCATTTGGTTCATTCAACTAACATAAAAATGCACAAATCCTTTGAACTAGCTATTCTATTTCCAAAGTACAATCAAACAATATTACTCATTTTAACCCAACTGTAGTGGCAAAAAAATAAATAATAAACACCCTAAATGTCCATTAATAAAGGAATAGTTTTTAAAATTACYKTCCCTTCCTCTCCACATTGCTGTAAACTCAGCAGGTGCAGGGGAGCATGCCTGTAATCCCAGCAACTCCGGAGGCTGAGGCAGGAAGATAGTGAATTCAAAGCCATCCTCACCAACATAGCGAGACCCTGACTCTAAATAAAATATAAAAAGGGCTGGGGATGTGGCTTAGTGGTTAACTACCCCTAGGTTCAATCCCCAGTATAAAAAAAGAAAACTACTACTATGCTACGTCCATACTAAGGACTAGGATATGGTAGTTAAAAATAATGAAATTGATTAACATATGCTGACACAGATGAAGCTACCAGCTGTCAGTGGCTTATATTTGACAAGATCTAATGCAATGAAAAATTATAAATATGTAACATCTTATAGACACAGTAGAGGTAAAGACATATAACAAGTATTGGATTGAAACAAAGTGATATAAAGGATTAGAGCTACAGTATATATATTCCAAAACATATGAGCATGATCTCTTGTATTACTTGCTCAACGAAACAAAGAAAATTAAATGAAAATGAGTGAAATTTAAAAAGGTTGCAATCCCATATTATGGAAGAGAAATAAAAGTTGGTAAAACACATTTGAGAATTACCTCAGGAGAAGAAGCTGAAACCTTGAGAATGGKGTGTGTGTGTGTGTGTGTGTGTGTGTGTGTGTGTGTGTGTTTCAAAGAGAGTACAGGAAAGATTGAGGCAAGAGGCTGAGATAAGCCAGGACCTGCACCACATACACATGTGTGAATTAGAACAAGTTACAGGGGAGTCAGATGGAAAATGCTGGTGCAGATTGCAGAAGTGTCCCCTGGGGAAGAGTTTCTGTTTGGAGATGCCATTTATAGCACAGATCTTGCTAAACCTGGCTCAGAACAACATGTTCTTCTTATGCTAGAGCAAGAAATATTGAAGGCTTTGGAATTTAATAAAAATGAAGATTTTTTTTTTTTTTTTTTGGAACCACATCTTTCTCACCTGGCTGGGGAGGGAAGATCAGAAGAGGGTAGTCATAAGTAGGTCCTGGTGTGAGCCGAGTATCACCTTGTAGACCAAGTTGAGTGTCCCTTCCTCTCCACATTGCTGTAAACCCAGCATGTGCATTTCTGCTGGCCAGAGGGTCCAGATCCTCCCCACCCCAGTGGTCAGTAACATCCTCCCAGTGACCAAGGCCATCAGCTCAGGCTGATCCACTTTCTTTCTCTATCCAGGAGCGAACCCTGAGGAGTGGGCTAAGAATCTGAAGGAGAAAGACTTTGAGTTGCTGTGCCCTGATGGTACCAGGAAGCCTGTGTCTGAAGCTATGAACTGCCACCTGGCCCGAGCCCCGAATCATGCTGTAGTCTCACGGAAAGATAAGGCAGCATGTGTCCRCGGGGTGTTAAGTGAACAAGTGGTATGAACCAGCCAGAGTCTCCTGCCCTTAATTCCTACATAGTTACAGATTGTTTGTGGGAGTTCATAGCTAAGTACAACCCTGGCTCAAGCCTTCTATTGAGAGGCCAYGGATTATGGACCAGAATCTCAGTTTGGTAGCTTCCTGGCTGTGCCATCTTAGTTATATGGTTTAACCTCTCTATGCCTCAGTTTCTTCATTGTAAAACAGGAATAGCAATACTTATGCCTGCTTCTCAGTTAATATGAGGATTAACGGTTAGATCCAAAGGGTTTAGGAAAATGTGTGATCCATGGGAAGTGCTCCAAACATGCTAGCTAAGCAGTTATACAACTGGACCTCTCAGGACTGGCACTTCTGTCTCTCGATCACTGGAAATAAGTCCCTGTCTGATCCTTGTGTCCTCAGGACCATGAATATGCCTTCCCGCTCCTCTTAGCCTTGCTCAGGGTACCCTTCTTTTCCCCACATCTGTCCTTTATAAAAGTGAAGAAGATTGATCCTGTTTCCTAGCAAGACTCTTCAAGTCTTGAAGAATAGATTTCTATTGCTCTTGTTTAGGCAGACTGGGCATGATACTCGATAGTGTGAAGAGCACAGGACCTCTATGCTTAGCAAGCCTTCCCTATGGGGAGGAAAACCATGTCAGGGCCATTCTCAGAGAAGAGAGGGGCTGCTTGAGTGTTCTAATCCTGAAGACCCCTCTATAAGTAAACATCACCTTCCTCTTAGGTGATGAGTCTCCAGAACTTTTTTCAAGAAAATTAAAGTAGCATATCTTGAGAAGTCCTGATGTTCAGAAGTGCATGAAAACAATAATGAGTATGTAATGACCATCCCCTAGGTGCTATACRGAATTCTAAACTTTTTATAGTCATCATTTTACTTATAGCCTTAGAAGGACTGGAGAAGTTAAGTGGCTGGCCCCCAGATAAGACTAGAAATGCAATCAAACATGAACTTTGAACAATGACCTCTACTACTCCTCTAGGAGGGGTCATATTGAACAACTTCTTGGGCATTGAAGAACATGTTATTGTCCTCTCATTTCCCATAAGCAGCCCCCAAGGGACTTGGGCAATGAAGCAGGGGAAGAGACCAGAGAAGGCAAGAGTGGGTGGGTGGAAGGAGGGACATCTCAGAAGAAGCTAGACAAGGCCCCTTACAGAGGACTTGCATAAAATCCTGGAATTGGGACTTCAAGTGGATAAATGGTGGATGAGGGAGGTGGAAATTCCTGAGGCATATCTGTAGCTTCCCTTTGTTGCTAGGACTGATTCAGAGCTTTGAACCTCCTCTGATGCATGTTCCCAGCTGCTCAGGGCCACAGGTCCTCACGTTATTTTCTGTCTTTTGACAGGATAAGTATGGAAGTCATGTATCGGACTGCTCGAAAAAGTTCTGTTTGTTTTCATCGGAAACCAAGGACCTCCTGTTCAGGGATGACACAAAATGTTTGGTCAAACTTCCAGATGATACCACATATGAAAAGTACTTAGGGGCTGAGTATGTCACAGCTGTTGGAAACCTGAGAAAATGCTCCACCTCACGTGAGTAGGAGGAATAGCATGAGAAAATTGCAAATAAAGCACAGTTGTGGGTCCTGGGGTGGTGGATGCAAAGGAGAAGTGGAGTCTGGCCCTCAGGATGTGTCCCATGGGAAAAATGAAACAGTAAGAGAACAATCTAATCTAAGCCCAGAACGTATGATAGGTCAGCCTGTATGAGGAGGTAGTAAGGGGGACAGAGGCCCAGGATACTAAGATAGTGAACTTATTGGACATCTTACTTCTAAGAAAATGAGGAGGTTTATGGGTATGARCACATGTCATTGCTCTTCAGTAAACTTTTTATTAGAATTGACTGGTATGGTAGCCAGTATCAAGATGTGGCTATTTAAATTTAAATTAATTAATATTGAATTAAATTAGGCTCCCCCTTTTCTTTTTGACAGTAGTGAGGATTGAACTCAAGGCCTCGTGCATTCTAGGCAAGCAGTCTACCACTGAGCTACAYCCCAAGCTCCAAACTGAATTAAATTAAAAAATTATTTCCTTARTCTTACCCAACCACATTTTAATTGCTTGGTAGCCACAAGTGACTCCCTATTGGTCAGGAAAGAGAACATCATTGCAGAAAGTACTTTTAGACAGTAAGGCTCTAGAGATAAGTTCTGGTAATACAAAGTTGCCAAACATACCACTCATCTGGAACAGGTTCTAGGAACTGTGATAGAATAAAACACACCTCTGCAGTGTAACTATCTGTGGAATAACCCAATCACTTGAAGGCATTTGGAAGATTGGGGGGGGGACAAGATGTGGTATAGGGTAGTTATTCTTCAACTATAGAAAGTGAATAAGTGAATCTTGGTCCTGATGAAAAATGTGTATTTCCAGGCCCTAAAAAAATACTGATTCAGCAAGTCTGTGCTATTTCAGGATGACTACGCTTTAAAAATTGGCCCATATAATTCTAATGTAAGCAACGTGGTCATCCAGGGCCATGGTTACAAAAATCAGGTTAACATTTACTTAACCTGTGTCCTGTAAAGGGAGGTTGTCTGGCTTTGTATTCTGCCTCCATCCCTAGTCCCAAGCACAAAAATTGGCAGATGCTTCTTGCTATGTAAGTTCCTTATCTGCTTAAAGAGGTCAGGCAGAGGGCAGACTTCCAGGGTGACCCACCCACATGAACTCAGGTGTGTAAGCCCTACCCATAAGAAACAAGGTAGGAGGATGCTATACAGCAGGGAAACCATGTTAAAGCCTTTGCAGCTTTGGTGTGGTGCCTTCCCTGAGGGAGGCATAGGTGCTGTGCAGGCAAGTGGGRAAGGGCACTGGGGGAATGATCCAGTATGTCACAAGAAGAGCAGGGCAACCAGTCTGAGTACCTGCCTCTGTGCTATACTTAACTGTCTATTCACTCAATGGTTCATAAAGAAATATAAGTACATTCTGAATTTCCTATCTCTCTGCTCTGCTCCACAGGACTCCTGGAAGCCTGCACTTTCCACAAATATTAAAATCCAAGAGGTGGGGCTGCTCCTCAGATGGAGACAGGAGCTCAGGTGACCCGTGGTCTTCCCCTGATCTCGCTAGCTTGAGGGGCTTGTGTCAACCGTGTTTGTCTTCACAGTTCTGTTGTCACATGCATAGGTCACAAAATAAAGACTATTGTTGATTTTATATTTCAACAAYTTCATTTTTTTTTACAAATGTTTCCACCTGAAGGATTTCTTTATCTATCTATGTGTGCAGCTGAACCCTTCCTTCTGAGCTCAAGTCCCATCTAGATTTTCCCTGCAATTCTGTGTGGTGCCATAACCATACCTCTTGAGTCCACCGCATGAAGGAACATTTTCTAAAAGGGTCTGTGTGTTCATTATAATAGAATCAAATGTATGTGCTCCTATGTATGTGCACATATGTGTTACCAGGGAAGGGCAGGAAGGATAGGGAGTGAGTTACAAAGATCAAGTGTTCAGTGAGTATAGAAACGAGTATAGAGGACTTTACTTATTTTTTTAGGCACCAGGGATTGAACTCAGGGGCACTCAACCACTGAGCCACATCCCCAGCCCTTTTTTGTATTTTATTTAGAGAAAAGGTCTTAGAGCCTTGCTGTTGCTCGCTTTGAACTTGAGATCCTCCTGCCTCTGTCTTCTGAGCTGCTGGGATTATAGGCATGTGCCATATGCCTGGATTTATTTTTATATTTTGAATGCATCCTATCTGACATAGCCAAGGTTCTGATTCTAACTTGATTCTGAAACATCTTTGGCTAAAAATCATCCCTTGGGCAGTTTCTGCCTTCTCCTTCCCTTCTCATCCAGCTTCCTCTAAGAGGGAGGCTCATTTTTCCTTTATTATTATTGAATGAACACACAGAAACTCTTCTTTGGCTCCACCCACTTACCTGAAGCTACTCTGGTGAAAGTCAGCACCACCTTCTCACTGTTAAACCAACTCAGTCATTTCATTCTTGAACCTGTTTCCTGCACATGATACAGTTGACCAGACCCTCCTCCTTGGGACTCTTTCCCTTAGCTTCTTGGACATGACCTCTCTCCTCTGCTTTGATTCCTACCTCTCTGTTCATTTGTGGTCTTACTGTAGGCTCATCCTATTTATCTTGGAATTTGGGGGAAATCTTCCTGGAGTTCTTCTCTAGATCCAGTGTGCCTCTCACTTTCCAGGCCTTCCTTCAAGCAATGCTAATGACTCTTGGGCACCCATATTGGGTCATGTAACCCCAGCCTCCAGTGTCCCCCAACTCACTGATTCCACCTATTACCAGTGGATCTATATTGTAGAGTCCTACGGTGATCAGAAACCCAACAAATAAAAATCTGGGCTGGAGATGTAACCCAGTGATAGAAGGCTTGCCCAACATGTGTGAAGTCCTAGGTTTGATTCCCAGCATTACAAATAAAACAAAACAAAAACAAAAAACAAGAGAATCATCTGTCCTTCTCCCTTCTGTTGCTTCCCTAAACTAACTATTGTTAGTATATTTCACATTGGCTGAAGACACTGTCATTTACTCAGTCATTCATGCTGCAGACAGAGGTATCAAGTCTCATTCACCATTTTCCTCCATTCCACATCCAAAGTCTATGTTGATTCTGACCTCTAAATAACTTTCCACTTGCCCCTTTTACCAACTCCTACCACAGCCTCACTTTCCATTCAGATGCAGAACTGCAGATAAGGGGTTTTTGCACAAAATCTTTCACACCTCTCTTAATTCCAGGAATCAGGACTCTGGGTGTGCTTTGCAGTCCAGACCTGGTGTGAACCTTTTTAATACCAGCCTTGATTCTCTCTGAACCTATCAACCCTCAGCCTATTGAAAAGTCACCTAGAGTCCACCGTCACCCCAGATCCTATAATTTCAACTTGTCCTTTGTTGGGATGTGGTCCGTCTCGTTGTAACAGGTCAATACACCTAATTTTGATAGACTAACAGAACTCTTAGGCAGTTGGGCTAGTACAACAACATTTAGTGTCAGGAGTCRCTCTGGAAATACACACCCKTAAGTCCTGAGCAAGAGATACTGAACAATTATTGTGTCCCACAATAACCTGGGCTTTATGCTCAGATAAAGAGGAGACTCCAGGAGTAGGTGTCACCCAGTGGAGTTGAGTTACACTCACCTGTTCCTTTGTAATCCTACCCCTTTGCCCTTCTTGGGATAGAATGTTCAATGGAATCTCCCCTTGTGTGTCCCCTGTATAAGAATAAAGAATTCCAGGGGTTCTCTCTCTTTTTCCATGGACCCCTAAGGTCAGAGAGCTGTCCTGGATTATTGAAAAGGTACTTCTGTGTGTTTTTGTGCTTTCTTTGCCATTTTCTTAAGTTATTGGAGTAGTCAGATTTGTGAACCCAGCATAGGTCGCCAGCTGGGATAGATAGCAATAATTCGGTACCCTTYCACCATCCTTAATTACTAAAACAGGATAGGCAGATGTTACTGGGCAGTGGTCTTTTATACATATAACCAAAAGCTAACATGTGCCTATGGTAAAGAAACATTAATTACTACCAACCTTAGATCACAGTGTTTTAGAGCTACTGGTCAATCCAATTACATAAGAAAACTAAATAAGATATAATATTTAAAGAAACATCAAAATTTCTACTGAGAACTATATACTAAAAAATCCATAAAACAAATAATAATGTATTAAAAATAAAATTAAAAAGTAAAATAAAATTCAGTAAAACGGAAGGAAAAATTGAGATACAAAATAAATTTCCCTTACATAAATAAGAGTGAGTTAGAATAATAATGTTTTATAAGAACAAGTAAAATACATCACTAAACTCATGAAAACTACATTTAAAAGTGATTAAACCACACTCAGTAAAAAAAAATACAAAAAATAGTACCTTGGATAGGAAGACTCAGTATTGTAAAGATGCCAATTCTCCCTTGATTAATATACAAGCAATTTTTTAACTCAAKAAAATTAAAAAATAAACATAAGACAGTAAAGAAAAAGTCTGAGAAAAGAATAAAGATAGTGGACCAGTTACCTCTTCCATCTATTAAAATGTATGATAAGCTCCTGGACATTTGCATTAGGGATCATTTTTTGGATATCAAACCAAAACCTCAGGGCACAAAAGCAAAAATAAACAGGGCTAGGGATATAGCTCAGTTGGTAGAGGGCTTGCCTAGCAGGAATAAGGCCCCAGGTTCAATACCCAGCACCACAAAAAACAAAACAAAACAAACAAACAACAGAAAAAGCAAAAAATAAATAAATGGGACTATATCAAACAGAAATACTTCTGCACAGTATAGAAAACAATCAACATAATGAAATGGCAGTGTGTAGACTGGGAAAATATATTTGCAAATCATGTATCTGATAGTTAATATCCAAAATGTATAAGTCATAGAACTCAATAGTAGAAAAACAAATAGTCTGAATAAAAAAAATGGTCAAAAGAACCAAACAGACATTTCTCCAAAGAAGAAAAATTGCCAACAGGTATATGAAAATGTGCTCAGCATCATTAATGATCAGGGAATGCTAACAAAACCACTATGAGATACCACTCCATGCCTATTAGAAGGCTATTATCAAAAGTCAAAAGATAACAAGTGCCAGTTATGGGAACTCTTGTACACTTTTGGTTGAAATGAAGATTGGCACAGTCATTATAAAAATGATAGGAWGAAAGAAAATTAAAGAATTCAAAAGAGAACTACCATACGACCTAGCAATCCCTCTTTGGGTAATACCCACTCATGGATTTTTCTGAAGAAGAACCAATGGTTATTATAAAGGAGCAAAGTGTGTATGTATGGAGTTCTCTCCTCATTATTAGTATTGCAGKGAGTAGCTAAGAGGATGCATTTTTTGGTCAGGCAGGAAGTGAAAGAAAGATGTTAAGATCTTTGGATGGTTAACAATATGATTTAGGCAAAACCTTGAAAAACTGACCATGGCAGGAAATACAATTTTGAGCATTAGTTTGACCTTGTTGGCAATTAATGCTGAATAATCAATTACAAAATTCATAAAAGTCGGTTAGAACAGCCATTTTAGCAAGAGTGACAGAGGTAAAGTTAGGAAGGTATGTTTGTGTTGGAAAGTAGATATGGAGCAGGAGTTAGGACCATAAGAAAGAATTAGAATGTGGCAAGATCTGATATTTGTAAWTGATGATGGTAATTTATAATCAAGTGATTTATTTACTTTCTTAACCCTCACATTTTAAACATCCTTTCTTGATCCAGAGTCCCCATTGTCTGTTTTTATTGAGTGAATCCTACTTTGTTTGAACATGCAGTATGTAGGAGTCCAACCACTTGGGATCCATAGATCTACAGTTAACTATGTCACCCTCAACTGCAACTTCTTATTACATTAAGACTAAACTCCTGAGCACCGCTGAATGYTCCTAGACTTATCTAGCATTGATTTTCCTGGCTGCTTCCCTTAGTGCAGTCATTTGAGTCTCACGCCTAGGTGTACAGTGTAGGGGACTAAATTACTGTGTTTCCTGTACATGCCATCGGCTCCTACTTCTTTTCTTCTTTATGGAGCTTTCTTGCCCCTTTAAGCACCCGCAGCGGCTCACTCATCCTTCAGATGCGTGCCTTTAGTCCCATCTCCCCGTGTACATCCTTCTGTACTATCGCTTGCCACATTCTAAGCCGCTTCAATATAGGATGCCTGAGTTCCTCACAAGCCTCACCTCACGTAGAGACCGACTAGAAGTTCTAAGTGGAAATTCCGAGAGCCATTCATTTCATTGTACTTTCCACAGTCATTTAGGCGGCGAAGAATGAGGGTTCCGGCCTTCGTAGAGGAGCGAACTACAACTCCCATCAGGCACACGGGCATCCCACAGGTCCGAAAGCGGGAACTACCACTCCCGTGAAGCTCTGCTGCTCGCGCCTGCGCAGAGCATAGGGCCACGTCGCTTTTGCRGCACCGGAGAGCACGCGCCTCATCCATGGCTTCCGCGGATTCCCGGCGGATGGGAGACACCGGCGGTGCCGGGGGCACCTTCCAGCCCTACCTAGACTCCTTGAGGCAGGAGCTGCAGCAGAGGGACCCAACGTTGTTGTCAGTACTGGTGTCGCTCCTCGTAGTTCTGCTGACGCTGGGTAAGGAGGCGGCGGGTGATTATGGTGGGTGCGGGGTGGCCGGGGTCCCCGCCTCCGCTCTGCTTCGGCAGGCCCGGGAGCCGAGAGGGCGTTTTAGTGGAGTTTAGATGTGAGATTCAACGTGTCTGTCATCCCACCCTCTTGTCTGACGCAGCCCTGCGTTAAAGGGGGATCCCGGGCGACCCCGGGAGTGACGTCCTGGTGCTTGGGACACGCGTTTCCCTAACTCCACTCCTGTTAAGTCTGGGCGCGCGGTCCCTCCCTTTCCATCACTTACCGCCGGGATCCACGGGGTCTGAAGACCAGCGTGGACATCCTATGTTTGCGAGCGGGGCTCTGGAAATGCAAAAGTCATAAGATACCCCTTGAGATATCCACGCTCAGGGAAGAGGTGTAGACACAGAGAGTTGACAGTTGATAGTGGCTGGCACTCAGCGGGTGCCTAAGTAACCACCGTAAATAGTGCTAATAACAAAGTAAATCACAGGTTATCATAGATATCTTTGTTTTATTATTACTTTCCCCTCTGTTCCACAGTGCTCTGGAAGTTTATCTGGAGCAGAAAGAGCAGTCAGAGAGCTGTTCTCCTTGTTGGTCTTTGTGATTCCGGGAAAACATTGCTGTTTGTCAGGGTAAGTGCTTTGATTTATACCATTGTTAAACTTAATATTATGGCATCCCTGTATTCCTGTGATTTCATGTTTTATTTGGCAAAAGAAACTTATCCTGCCAAATTTGGAGTGAATTCTAAACTTTATGAAAACAAAAAGACTTGAAAATCCTAAGAACTAAAATTTTATAGCCATTCCTGCTTCTTTTTTTTCTCCTTACCAGATGCTGATATTTAATTCTTATCACAAGATTTTTTAATAAGTGTTAAATGGCTAAGGATGCCGTTAAAGACATATAAACCTGACCTACTTAAAGTTATAATTTATCATGTAACAAACCTTTCAGAGAGCCTGTAAAAGACTATTTTTTTTTTAATATTTCAATTTTGGGGGGAATTTTTTGGATTTTAGAAAATTTGCCCCAGTAGCCAAACTGTGGTTGTATTTGTACCATGACTTGACAAATGCAGTTACATCCCAGTCTGCTGATTCTTTCCTCTATAAATTTATTGTCATTAAATCTGACACATGATATGAATATTAGTTGTTATTTTTGTGTTCACAAGAGGAAAATGAAACCATGAAAATGTATGTCAAACTTTACTTATTCATCGATGACATGAACAACTTTGATGAATCAGATAATACTAAAGGAACACTTTCTCAGTGTCTTGTGCTAACCACTGTAATGGCTCTAGACAACATGGTTTTAATTTTAACCTTTCTTTATCACTTTCTTAAGTCTAAACAGCCTATGAAACAGTAAACAAAGCTCTAAATTGTGGCCTTTGCTGATTTCTGTAGTGTAAATACTCCTAGCCTGACCATTTCCAAGTGACCAGCCCAGCTTTGTCAAAGTTATTTTTTTAAAGGATGATTCTTCTTTTTATGCTAATTAGGTTTCTTTTCATTAATACTTATTTTTAATGTATACAGCATTTTTTATTTTTATGATTTTTATTATTTTGAGACAGGGTCTCGCTAAGTTGTATAGAGCTTTGCTAAATTGCAAAGGCTGGCCTCCAATTTTTGATCCTCTTGCCTCAGCTTCCTGATTTCCTGGGATTATGACTGTGCACCAACATACCCTGCTGTTTTTGGTATTTTTAACTGAGTATGTGTTTTACTATGAGAATAGGACAGATTTTCTGCTTTTTATTCTTCCTTTGGACAGTAGAAGTAGTTTTCCTTCCACTAAGGAAATATAATTTCAAATTATTTATGATAGTTAAAAATGTTTACAAAAGGGAAATAAATTTGGCCACTAACTATGGTTTGAAAATATATTTTTTCTCTTATTAAAGAGAGGGGGAGGAAGTTCGCAATTTTTCTACAGGTTAAAAAAAATTAAAATCTGGGGCTGGGGATGTGGCTCAAGCGGTAGCGCGCTCGCCTGGCATGCGTGCGGCCCGGGTTTGATCCTCAGCACCACATACCAACAAAGRTGTTGTGTCCGCCGAGAACTAAAAAATAAATATTAAAAAATTCTCTCTCTTTCTTCTCTCTCTCTCACTCTCTCTTTAAAAAAAAAATTAAAATCTTTTTTTAGCTGTTGCAAGCAGCATTCATTTTATTTGATCTTTAACCTGGGCAGGGTAGAACATTATTATTACTCATTAGATTTTCTATTATTGTTAATATGTTCATTCTGATCTCTCCCATCTTATTTTTTACAGTTGTTAACAGGCCATTACAGAGACACTCAGACTTCCATTACTGACAGCTCTGCTGTATACAGAGTCAACAATAACAGGGTAAGATGTGACTGCAGTGTTAAAGAGTCTGACAACCTGACTGGAATGAATTAGTCTGAGGATGTAGATACCATTTGAAGTTTATTTTTATAAGGAATATAAAAATATATTATGTGACAAATTCTGCCTTTTATAATCTGTTGGCCAGTGTAGTCATTTCTACCTCTCCTTTGTAGTCGTTTATGTACAGTAATGTTATAATTCATTTTATTCTTAATTTTTTTTTGTCTTCTTTCCAAATTTACCTATTTAAGAATGGACATTAGGGCTGGGTTTGTGGCTCAGTGGTAGAGTGCTTACCTAGCATGCATGAGGCACTGGGTTCTATCCTCAGAACCACATAAATGTAAAATAMAGATATTGTGTCCACCTAAAACTAAAAAATAAATATTAAAAAAATGGACATTAAGTCTTTTTCTTTTATGTTTTAAAGAGGTAATACATGTACACGGAACAAAAAAATTGAAAAGTAATTTTTCCTTTTCTAATCCCACAAGCTAGKCTTGTTGTTGGAAGTAATAACTGCTGTTATTTTTGTGTGTAAGCTTCTAAGTGTTCAATGCATATACAGCTGTATCTATATATCCCTTAATTATATTTTTTCTTAACACACTTTTTTGTCCATATTTTTTTATTTAACAGTATGACTGATAGAACTTAACATTTTTCTCCTACATTTAAACACATAGTACTATCTTGTTGACTTATGAACTGCATAGTATTCTACTCTGGYTGTACCATATAATTAAATTTTGATGTAATCAAAGTACTGCTAATGTTTAGTTTTGTTTGTTGTTAGAATCTTTTGCCTTTACAAACTGTTGCAATGAATATCTTGAAAAGTATATATGAGCACTTTCAAAAATACCCATAAAGAATCATGAGAAAGACTTTTCTAGAATGTAAATAGTGACAAGCAAGCCAGTTATGATACTTAATGAGTTTTAGTGAGTGAGTGGAATGAGGACTAAGTGACTGACTGGAAGAGTAGAAGGACAGTAGGATAGTGACTTAGAATTGTGATCTTAGGGCTCTTTTCCCTTTTCCCTTGTGCCACTTCCCCTTTGTGGTGCCTCTAGRGTTAAACACTGTAGGCAAAGGTACAGGGACTCCATTTAAATATCTAGAGATATTTTTGTTTATTTGAATGATGGCAAYTTTTCTGACCAAAACCTTTTTAAATTTCCAAAGATTTGGATTTTGAAATTTCAGGTTTAGGAGATCATTAATTTTTAGGGTCCTGTACTGAATTTTTTAAAGTGGGCTATTTGAGGGTGTGTTAGACCTGTATCTCTCAGTGCAGTAGCTACTGACCCTGCGTGACTGTACAGCACTGAAATTTGACCAGTCCAAATAGAGGGGTCATATAAGTGTCAAGTACTTACCAAACTTTGAAGAACCAGTGTGAAAAAAGAAATGTAAGCTATCATTAATAATGTCTTGGTTCATTAGTACATATTAATAATATTTTTGATATACTGGATTATATAACTTATTATAACAAATTTTACTTTTTAAATATTTACTAGAAAATTTAAGATTACATGTGGCTTATTATATTTTTGTTGAGAATATAGAACATTCCTCCCTTTTTTCACAAACACTGCTCCCACTCCCTTAAGTTTAGATTTAGTTTTCTCTAGGTAGTAATGTACCTAGTCATGAATCTTCTGAATTGCTAATGCTGTGTGGTTCAGTGCTATTTTTTAAATGGAGCAGTAGGTCCTAATTTGGGTTCACTAGACTCTTACCAATATTTTGAAAAGGCTAGTAAGTATTTTTATTTGTCTTTCTGAAAGATCATAATGAATCCAGCTGGAATTATGTCAGATCTGTACATGATACTGATTCCCTTCTATTGAACTGTGATCATGGTTGGAGGTAAACATGCGAGAAATGATTGATGAGTCTGATACTTGTACTAAAGCCAACTCTTAAGAGTTTTGTCACTGAGCACAGACACATCTACATTGATCATAAGGTCAAGGATGAAGTCCTGGAATGGTGAATACGATTTAGTATTAGTGCATAATGTGCTTGGTCAATAGGGGTTCAAAAATTGGCAAAAAATTTGACAGATTTGAAACAAATAAATCTTATCTGGTAAGCACATATTTAAGAATTAAGGGGTGGAAACTATGAAAGTATGCTTTGTTATAATGATTAAGGATCCCAGTAATGGCAACATGTGCTATAAATTCTAAGTTCTTTTTTGCATTATAAGCTTGTGAATATTTATTACAGTTGTTAACATGTTTTTGCTTTTATTCACACTGGTATCTCCTAAACCTCAGGTAGACCACACATTCCTGACTCTCTCGGTCAGGTTTCTTAAGAAACCTAAGAACATTTATCAAAATTGTTACTTTATATGTAATTTTACATCATGCTTAATGTTAGACCGGGAACCACATCTTTGTTCACTATTATATCCCCAGAACTTTGACCAGTGTTTTATTTTTGTAGGGGGAGGTTGGTGTGGGGATTCAACCCAGGGCTTCATGCATGCTAAGTAAGCAGTCTGCCAATGAACTACATTCCCCAACCCTGGGCTGGTGTTTTATTTGAAAATGTTCCATGAAAATTTGTTTGATTTATTAGAGTAACACTTGTTGTATTAATTAATTAACTAGACTCCAGTATTATGCCTTTAATTTGATCCTGATGTGCACATGGATCTGGATGGAAACATTAATCCAATATTATTGCTGCTATCCTCAGGGCAACAGCTTGACCTTGATTGACCTCCCTGGACATGAGAGCTTAAGGCTTCAGTTCTTGGAGCGGTTTAAGTCTTCAGCCAGGTAAGTAGAAAGAAATGAAGTGGGCTTGTTGAAGTTGGTACTGTGTATCCAGTCTGCACATGTGGGACTGGTGTTTTGCTCTGATGGGATTCTGGAGGCAGCACACTATCCTGCAGTAGAAAGAACATGGAGCTTGGAGTGAGCCACTTCTGGGTTGCAAGCCCAYCTTTGCTAGGATTGTGAAGATTGTATGGGATAATGCTTAAGGAAGTGTTCCCTCATTATTATTAAAATATACTCTGAAGATGAATTCAGTGACATAATACAGGATTATTAATATTTAGGAAAAAATTTTAAAGCTGTTGGGTCCCAGAAATTATTAAACTCCAACATTATGTGTAACTTTATTTCAAGAACAATATTTTCATAATTCTTTCAGTGTCTGCCCTCATGTTATTAACCCTTAAATTCTTTACTAAAATTCTTATGCTGCTTTTGCAAGTGTTCTCTTCATGTGTACATCTAACATTGATAAGAACTGGAGAGGGAAATTAGTCTGACATATTTCAATGATTTGAAGACATTTTAATGTCTCTGAATTTCAAAGGCATCTTACAGTTGCAATTATCCCAGGTGTGATAGTTTAACTGGCAGTATTTTCTCCTCTTAGTGGTTCCTGAAATGTTTCTTTGAATTGATGGCATCTTAGGTTTGAGGAATGAATTAGTTGGTTCTTTCCTTTTTATTGAACACATGTGGACTTAGATTTTGAAATTGTTTCCTTACCCACAAGATGGTGATGATGAGCAGTTTGTTTCAGAAGAGAATGTGATTTTTTTTAATTCTTCAGACAATTTAGACAGATCTAGAATTGGGTATTAATTTACCACTGAATTTTTTTTTTTATGTTGTCAGTTATAAATATTTTATAATTTGCAGTATAATTACTCTGTGACTCAAGTATTTTAGGTAAATAGAACAAACATGGGGTAGTGGTGCACACCTGTCATCTCAACTGAGGCAGGAGGATCGCAAGTTCAAAGCCAACCTCAGCAACTCAGAGAAGCCCCAAGCAAGTCAGTGAGACCCCATCACAAAATAAAAATAAAAAAGGGCTGGAGATATGGCTTAGTGGTTAAGTGCTCCTGGATTCAGTCCCCAGGAAAAAAGAAAAAGAAGATAAAACTGAGTTCAAAGAAATCTTAATCATAATAAATGCATATTAAAGATTATTATGTGACTTTTATTACAAGTCAAATTTCCTTAATTTCTATTTTTCCCCTTTACTTGTGAAATATGTTATTTCTACTCTTTGTGGTTCTCCACTTGCCCCCCCCTTCCTTTTTAATATTTATTTTTTAGTTTTAGGTGAACACAATATCTGTATTTTACATTTATGTGGTGCTGAGGATCAAACCCAGTGCCTCATGCATGCTAGGTGAGCCACAACACCAGCCCCTTGTCCCTCCTTTTAAACATTGCACAACGTCTCATAAAATCAATAATACTAGTTCCTTTTTCCTAAAGCTCAAATGCTTTAACTCTGTTCTTCCTCATATCATTCTTTTTCACCTCCAATGATTGCTGATTTTTGCCCTTATATTCAATGATTACTGAGACATACCTGGATTCTTATGATTTCTTTTGCCAAATTCTGGCATTCTGCTCTTTCCTTTTAGGATCTGTTTTTCCTCAGTGTATGTTTTAGAAATATTTCCAGAGAGTGAGTGAGTAGTAAAATTTCTCATCTTTTGTTCATTTGAAGCTATCTTTATTGGGTACTAGAATGGTGATTTTAGCTGAGTATAAAGTCCTGGGTGGTAGTTGTTTCCATGGTGACATGGAAGGCATGACTGCTGACTTCTGTGTCTGCTGCTGCAGTCTCATTGTTATTTTTCTAGGAAATCTGTCTGGTCTGCCTTCTGTCAAGGGGTGGATTAGCTTTGTCATGTTTGGAATTTAAATGTGCTGTTTCAGACCAGATATTCATATCTGTCTTTAGTTCTTAGAAATTCTCATAATCTCTTCAGGCTAGTGCTGTTTCTCCATTCTCAGTTCTCACATCTTGTAACTCAGTTGACACAATTGAACCTTAGTATTTCTGCCCTTCTTGTTTCTTCTAAATTTTTCTACTTTGCATATTGTGTGATACTCTCATATTTGTTTTCTAGTTTACTGCATTTTGTTTTAGCTAAGAATAATCTCTCTTTAACTTTTTCATTGGGTTTTTAATTTCATTTACTGTGTATGGTCTTTACATTTTTCCCCCCAAATCGCCTGTTTCTTCTTCTTATGATTCCTAGTATTGTGCACTTAAATAATTTAACCATGTGTTTTGTAGATTGCTTCATTATCTCTAATTTGGAGGTGCTTGTTTTTCTCTGGCATGACTATTTATTTTCTTCTGTGGTTTGTAATATTTGATCCAGAACCCTTCAAGGGGATGCATTATTGTTGTTGTGATTGATATACTTTAGTATATGAAAGCCTCATTCGAGAAGGAGTACATATTTCTATCTGTTGGGACCAGAGAGGTTTAGAATATGGCCCAGTTTTTATGTAAATCTTTCTACTTAGGAATCTTGTACCTGGGGAGAGTGTAAATTCACACTCCATACCTGGAGGCCTGGTTTTTCAATTTCTTTTGGAATTATTTTCCAACCCTGGGCCTCTAGTAGACTGCTTTTAAGTTGTAGGCTTCGTGCAGCAGGTTTGGTTCCAGCTCCCCAGTGCATGTCAGCCATTGCATGTCTCCTGCCCCACTGGGCATTTAGACCATTGTCCCTAAAGCCCATCGTCTATAGTTTCCCTGGGCTGCTGTGCTTTAACTCTGATATAGCTTTGTTTGTGGCACATGAAGATTCTCACTGCTGCTGCCTTAAGTCAGGCCCTCCCTGGTTATGCTCTTCTAGTTCAGTTGCCTTCTACGATTTCTGTCATTTAGGTACCAGTAGTCTGTGCAAGACAGAAAAACGTAAACTTCATAGGTTGATGTGTCACACCCTTTGCTCTGTGACCTGGTCGTGTGTCGTTCTCCATCTCCTTATGTACCAGCTTGCCTTGACTTCTTTAATGTATGTGTTTCCCTTGTTTGTGCCTTCAATATACTATGTTCTGGACATTTTATCTAGTTAAAATTCAGCTCAACTACTCCATTCTCCTTGACTTTGACCTTGTCTTATTGAAATGATCACCTCTTTGTTCCAGTTACACCATGGGCATAGTTCTCTCCTGGCATTTATCATAGAGTTCTGCATGATTTCTTGGTCTCTGAGGGTGGACATCATTCCTCAGTCTCTGCTCAGCTTCAGGCATTGACCCACAGTATCATTTAGTACTAGTTTATGTTAAATGAAGATTAGTGTCATGTGATTAACTCTACACAGACCTGCATATGTTTCTCTAGTGTGTGATTCACTAATCTGAAGAAATTAAGGCTAGAATTTTCAGGATCATGGTGCACTGCTGCAGACTCATGTGTGAGTTTTTCTTTTTTTTCCCTGTAGGGCTGTTGTGTTTGTTGTGGACAGCGCAGCATTCCAGCGAGAGGTGAAGGATGTGGCCGAGTTTCTGTATCAAGTCCTCATTGATAGTATGAGTCTGAAGAACACGCCATCATTCTTGATAGCCTGCAACAAGCAAGGTGCCATTGTGTTTTCTACCATAATAATTGAGATTTTTCTGAGATCACTACTAAGAATTAGTTCAGTTGTCCACAGTTATCATTATTGAGGTTTGGAGACAGTTGTTGTGAACTACAAGTGGAAGGATTTTTTTTTTTTTTTTTAATTTTTAAAATTTGGGTTTTTTTAGTTATACATGACAGTAGAGTGTATTTTGACAAACATACATGGAGTATAATTTTCAATTCTTATGGTTGTACATGATGTAGAGTTACACGGGTTGTGTATTCATATATGAACATAGGAAAGTTATATCTGATTCATTCTACTGTCTTTCCCATTCCCCTCCCCCCATCGTGAGTCAGCATCCGAATGTCAAGAGAACATTCAGCCTTTGGATTTTGGGGGATTGGCTTATTTTACTTAGCATGATAGCCCCTGATTCTATCCATTTGCTGGGAATGCCATAATTTCATTCTTTATGGCTAAGTAATATTCCATTGTGTATATATACCACATTTTCTTTATCCATTCATCTGTTGATGGGTACCTAGGTTGGTTTCATAGCTTAACTATTGTGAATTGAGCTGCTGTGAACATTGATGTGGCCATGTCATTACAGTATGCTAATTTTAAGTCCTTTGGGTATAAACTGAGGAGTGGGATAACTGGGTCAAATGGTGATTGCGTTTCAGGTTTTCTGAGGTTAAAACTTAAAATTTATTTCTACTCCCATCTTTTCACTCATTTTCTTACCAGGCTTTCCTAAGGGTCCACAACAGAGGAATTGTTACCTTTTTTTGGGGATATAGGTTTTTTTTTTTTTTTTTTAAGATTATAAATTATTTTACTTTACCAAATTAAGTTTGTCAGATTTTGATGTGTCATGTCAGTTGCACTATTTTGGAGGGAGAGGTTGGAGTCTCTCCTTCCAAATAAGTTTATCATTCAGCAAATTTTATCAATGGGAGTGTACAAGATTTTCCTTTAAACTGGTAACCATTAAAAACCATTAAAAGCCCAGTTAAACTGCCCTTCAGTTCTGTTACCAATAAAATAAGATAAACTAGTTGTCCTTTCACTGATCTATTTCTTAAAGTTCTGTGAAGAACTTAAAGCATTTCTCAGAAGTGGTTAGATTATGATACTTTAACGAGAGATGTGTTTGTTAGCATCATTACCTGACTTCTTTTGATTTCTCTTACTTAGCATGTAGAGGGCAGTTAATGTTTATTTGGGGTTTGTGGCCACACCAAGCATCCCTGTAGTGTGAAGGATGCTTTCACATCATTAGTATCAGCTGAAAGCATGCTGAGTTTATTTTTAAGTGACAAGTAGGGTTTTGTCTATTGGAGTGAAAGTTCTTGGTTGAGTCAGAGAACTAGTAAGGTGTTTTTTTTTTTTTTATGTTAAACTGACTGGACTCATACGTATTGAATTGAAAGGTCTGTAAGGTATGGAAAACTTAAGTCCATGTTAGGGTCATCAACATAACATGTTTGTAAGCATTACTTTGGGAAATCCATATGTGCAAATCTAATGTTTACTTTGATAGAGAAAGAATTAGTGATAAAAGCTCTTTTTGAAAAGGAGTGAGGAGAAACTTGCTGGTTTACATTCTGGTTTAATTTACAACAGTGTTTTTACTTTACAGATATTGCAATGGCAAAATCAGCAAAATTAATTCAGCAACAGCTTGAGAAAGAACTGTAAGTGTGAATAAAGCCTGTTGGTTAAACACATTCACATATAGGCTTAAAACAGCATGTTCATATATTTTTTGTCTGGTTATCAGTGATGATCACAATTATTGTCTGAATATTAGTGTGAGATATACTTACTAAATAATTTTTAGAATCACCAAAGGAATTGTTAAAAGCATTAATGGGATATTTTTAATTTTTTTTTTAATTTTAAAATTTTGTTCTTTTTAGCTGTACATGACAGTAGAATGTATTTTGGCTTTTTCAATTTCATGTAGAGAAGATTTATTGAAACCATTTGCTCAATTTGTTTTACCACCGCTACTGACTCATAATTGATATGAAAGATCTTAGAAACTAAAAAATTGTACACACCAGTTGAGATCAGTGTTATTTCAGAAAGTGGAAGTGTTTGTTCACCACACAGTAATGCATGTAAAACTGTGTTTAAAGGTGCATGTAAAAAAATAATAAGATAAAAACAGACAAAAACCAAGGATCAGGAAAAAAGAAGGAAAACAGTTTTAAAGCCACTGGAAATTATTGTTGACAGAATGAGGAATATAAAAATCAAGGGTAGCATTTTGTAGCTTCTTGTATTGTTTTCATGCTACTTGACAATATTATTTACCCTGCTTAAAAGCTACATGCACCATTTGATGCTTGTTAAATGAATAAAGAAGTAGATCATGATGGGGAAAAATGTTCTCAAAGTTGGATTTATACAATTTATACAGTTTTTCCTCATCAGATCAGGCGTACTCAGAATTTAGTCAGCTTCAGGAGTGGCAGACTCCTGCCCAGGGCCTGCAAGCTGAGTAGTTTGACATTTTTAAAGGGCAGTTTAAAAAAAGAAAAATACACAGCAGAGACCAAATAAGGCTCACAAAGCCCCAAATGTTTAATTTCTGGCTCTTGCTGGCCTGACCTGTGCTGCTCTCTGTGGATCCTACCCTTCTGAAAGTGTGTGTCTGTCTCAGTGCTCTCTCTCTTGAAGCCATAAACAGTACTTTCCTTAGGCTAGGGACATGGGAACAGTTAGATAATTTGGTTTCTAAGATTGTGTTGCATTTGTGGGGAATCATTTTGGGAGAACAAAAGCTATTATAATATTATTTGTGTTTCAGGGTTCTTTTTGCCCCCCCCCCCCACTTTTTTTTTTGACAGTGCAGTCCCAAGTTTACCCATATTTAAAACAGGTTTTTCTTTGGTTATTTGCTTTTTACAGTAGGGTTAGAGGAAAACAGTACAGAACTAAACACTCTGTTATAAACAGTGAAGTAAAATGTTAAAAAGTMGTAAAGGTTAACATTAGTTAAATTAGAAACCTAATTTTAATTTAATTTTTTATTTTTGAGAATTAGGCCCTATCAGTTTTGAAGGAATTTAAAGTTTTGAATTACAAGGGTTATTTTTTATAACCCTGTGGCAAAAGCTGGTTACACATAATGTTTTGCTCTTTTTTTCTTAAAAATTGTTATAACATATTATACATATAAGAGTATATAAGGTGCATATATTAAATTTGAAGATTATAAGATGGATACTATGTACTCACCACTAAGCCTAAAAGGCCTAGCTGGCTGTGTGTTCCTCCCCAAAAGCTTTCCCTCAGAAGGTAAATGATATCCTAAGTTTTTTTGTAGCAGTTTTTTTACATTTTTTATTGTTTCTTTTTTGGGTTATATATAACAGTAGGATTCATGTTGACATAATTTAAAAAGCATGGGATATAATTTGCTCAAATTCAGTCCTCAGTATTTCTCCTGTCCCCCGTCTCCCTGTTCCTTTTTCTCTGCTCTACTGATCTGTGTGCTATTTACTTTTAGATCTTTTTTTCTTTTTGGTTAGTGTCTTGTGGATATAGATGATATGAGATTCACTGAGGTGTATTCCTGTATGAACATAGGAAAGTTAGGTTAGATTGATTCCTCTCTTTTTCTCTTATCCGACTCTTTTCCTTCCCCCTTAGTTCCATTCATTTAGCCTGTTGGTCTTCCTCCTTTTTTGACAGACTCCCTTCCTTCTTTTTTCCCTTTCCCATTCTTTCTCTTTTTCCTTCCTATTTTGGACTAATTTCCACATATCAGAAAAAATATTTGACCTTTGGCTTTCTGAATGTGGTTTGTTTCACTTAGCATTATGGTGTCCAGTTCCATGCATTTATCAGCAAATGCCATGATTTCATTCTTCTTTATGGCTGAGTCATACTCCATTGTGTATATGTACCACATTTCTTTATCCATTCATCTGTTGAAGGTTGGACAGAGCTTGGGTATTGTTAATTGTGCTGCTAAACATTGATGTGGCTGCGTCACTAGAATATGCTGATTTTAGATCTTTTGTATATATACTGAGGCGTGGGATAGCTGGGTCATCTGGTAATTCCATTCTTACTAGTTTTTTGAGAAATCTCCATACTGCTTTCCAGAGTGGTTGCACTAATTTGCAGTTCCACCAGCAAAGTATGAGTGTACCTTTTCCCCACATCCCTTGCCAACACTTATTATTATTTGAATTCTTGATAATTGCCATTCTGACTGGAGTGAGATGAAATCTTAATGTAGTTTTGTTTTGCATTTTCCTGATTGCTAGAGATGTTAAACACTTTTTCATRTATTTGTTGGCCAACTGTAATTTCTTCTTTTGACCAGTGTATGTTTAGTCTTTCCCATTTATTTAATTGGGGTTTTCTTTCTTTCTTTTTTTTTTTTTTTAGAGTTAAGTTTTTTGAGTTCTTTATATGCCCTGAGGAGCAGGTGGCAGAGATTCTCTCCCATTCTGTAGGATGTCTCTTCATGTTCTTAATAATTTATCTGTTTTTTGAACTATTTTTATTCTGTTTTTGTTCTTAAACAACGTATTATTTAGTTTTGCCTTTGGTCTTCATTAACTTTTAAGCAACCTTATAGAACCAAGAAATGTTTTCCCTTGTAGGAAAGTTAGTTGGTCTGGCAAGCATTCCTCTGCTTCTGGGAGCAGAAAGGGAGGAGTTAGCAAATGTATTTCTCATGCACTGTTTTGTCTGGGCCAGCAGGTGGCAGTAAGGTGACTTAGTGGAGAAGGTTTTTGCAAATGAAGAGATCGGAGAGCAGTTAATTTTGTCAAATTAGATATAAGAGTCTAGAGTTTGTGGATTTATAAGYTCCATATCCAAATAGACCCAAGGTAAAATAAATACCCTGTCTACCYGTGCTTAGCTTTCATAAATTAAGTTTTTGTAACACTTATAGCATGAATTTTAAACTATAATTTAAAATGGCATCAGGAGATTCTAACAGAAGAGGGCCTTGGCTGAGAGAAAGTTGCTATGACCTGGGTCCACTACTGACCTGGTGTCACCTAGGTGAGAAATTGGAGCTCCATCTTGCAAATGCAAAGGATTGTTTAGTAACCTGAATAGCATAATTTACAGGTTCATGATTATTCTAGTCTTAAATGAGTGCTGACATATTTAGAAGTGTGATTTAATTGCTGTGTAAAGTTTTGTTGCTGACTTGTTTTCTTCTCCTCCTACAGCAACACCTTACGAGTTACGCGTTCTGCTGCCCCCAGCACACTGGATAATTCCAGCACCGTCCCTGTTCAGCTGGGAAAGAAAGGCAAAGAGTTTGAATTCTCACAGTTGCCCCTCAAAGTGGAGTTCCTTGAGTGCAGTGCCAAGGGCGGAAGAGGAGACACTGGCTCTGCTGACATCCAGGACTTGGAGAAATGGCTGGCAAAAATCGCCTGAGCGTATATCTGAAGCACAGCCATGGTTGTCTGCGGGTGACTGGCAGTTTTGGAGAAAGGGTAGTCTGGCGTTGATAAAGAAGGGGCACAAGATGTGGTTAGAAAAATTTCTTTATTTTGGAAACAAATTATTGTTGGCACCAGCTTAGATTTTTTTGTTTAAATTTAGTTCTCCCGTATTTCTCCCGTTCAAAGGAGTCACCTCTGTTTGGCTCATCTTCCTTCTGTTAAGGTGTGTGTAACTTCCCTTTAGTGTGTTCTTGATTTAGGATTGAGGTCTATGTGACATCACAGTTCACATAGAGAGGACATTATCATGAGACTCTGATTATCTGAAAACTCTTATCCTCTGCCTCTATGCTTTGGTTCCTTTTTGTTGGAAACAGACCTGCCTATGTATGAAACTAGCTGATTTCCAGTCACTTCTGACATTCATGGACTGCRCACTGTCTAGTCCTCTGTGAGTTCCCAGCTTTGCAGATGCAGTTGTGGTCGTTGCCCCACATGAAGACTGCAAGGCTGAGTGGGCAGTGGGTATGTTCTCTGTCAGCTCAGTGACTTGTCATGCTCCACAGCATTTTGGTTTTAAAATCTCATCAGTTTTTCCCAGAGGATGGAGTCATAGATGCCAAATCTCTAAATGCCAAGGGTCTCACGTGTTCTAGTGGTCATACTAGAGATTACAGGAAGACTTAAACACTGCTCTGCTTTCTCGATGGCCGAGGGTTCCTGGGCTTTGTTCATGTGCTGCTCAGGTTATTCCTGTTTTGTACTCTTAGCTAGAATGCTGTGGAACAAATACAAGTGAAAAGTTTTCTGTAGATTTTTGAAGTGCATATTCGTTCATGCTTTAAAAAAAGATTGCCTTTTCAAAGTGATGTTTTTGTGTTTTGATGTTTAAGTGTCTTCTTAAACATTTGGGTTTTTATTGCTTTTTTAAGTGAGTAATACATTCCTTGATAAATAAACCAACCTGTCCAGCTCAAAGTGAAACAGTGACAACAGATGGAAGCATGTGTGGGGTTCAGGCCTAACTCCAAGTTACCTGAGCCCAGTGATYGCAGGGTACACAGGTGCCAACTCTCCTGTCCTTACCTCACATGGACAGGGTCTTACTAAGCTGCCTAGGCAGGCCTTCAACTTGTGGTCCTTCTGCTTCAGCCTCCTGAATAGTTGGAATATGCAGGCATGGCACCACATCCAGCTGGGAAGGGCTTGGGTGGAAGGCCAGAGCGTTCTGTACTCAGGTGGTATCCTCTGAAGCCATCCAACCAAAGCAGGCCCTTTTTTTTTTTTTTTTTTTTTTTTTTTTCATAAGATGGGAGGCAGATGTGACCAGAGTAGAAAGTACTGTCAGGTTACAGGGACAGACTGACTGTAAGGCTCGGAACACCTTAGGAACTGGAGGTGTCCGAGCCGCCTTGTATGTGGGCACTTGATGCAGGTGCCCTCCTGTGCCCAGCTGAGGGAAAGCTGCAAGGAGGGCAGTTGCTGTGAGCAAGCCCTGGGCACTCCATTGGTAAACAGGCCCGCTTCTGGAGTGAATCTTCAGTGGTTATGGAGCACACCCACAGACTAGAGGGGTCTTGCCACTGGCTGCAGTTCTTTATTCAGGGTCTTCATTCAAGCCAGGCCTTGGAGGCTTCTCTTCCACCATTACTGTGGGCCCTAGCTCCTGATCAACAAAAGCTAGAGCACCCCTGGGGTGCCACTTCTTCTCAGTGCCTATATGGTCTGCCAAGAGTGATGCACTTGGCTAGGTTCTGTTGACTTGAACATTGTTTGAGCTTTCTAAAAATATCTGAGTGTAGCATATGGTGACCTCTCTGAGCATCCCTGGATGCCATGCTGTGCACTCAGGCAGGACATTCACCACAGCTCTGTCATCACATTCATGTTGAGGGAATCCCAGCAGAGCTTCCTAAGCATGGCAAAGGCAGGGACAGCTGGGCAGCTGTGAGTGGCAATGCCATACCCAGGGAGAGCACTCACTCCCTTTGCTGTGTGAAGTCACGTTGCCCTGAATGCCATCACCCTGGGAGGACTGCTTGTCATGGAATAGCTTTCCTCTGGCCCAYGCAAGCCTCATTGGTGGTCAGCCTCTGCCCCTTGACCTCCCTGCACCGTTCTACCTCACACTTCAAAACTGGAAACCAGAAAAAGGAAGGCTTAGTGGGGAGGCACATCTATTCTAATGAGAGATGGCTTCCTTGAGAGATTGGACAATGTACCAGAACCTTTAGAACCTTTAAAGGGAAAGGCTCTGGTGAAGCTGGACTTGAAGAGATTTCCAGCATTCTCAGGCTATAGCGATTCTGTGCCTCATTTTTGCTTTTAATTCTTTGGAATTGGTCCCAGAACTAAATGGGTTTTTAGGGCACTTTTTTGTCTGGAGATGACAGACTTGAGGGGCCTTGCAGGATTGTTGCCTGGCTGGTGTAGGGTGAGTTAGGAATGCTATTTAGCAGGTTGAATCATCACCCTTAAGTTCTTGTCTCTGAGTGGTTCTCTGGAAGTCAGGGTAGGAGCTCCATTCCCTACACACACACACCCCCCCCCCCAATAACCCTAACCCAGGCAGTTAGAGAGCTGAATGATGAAAAAAGTCACACCTGAGTCTCGGCTCTGCCTGGAACTTCCCTTTCCATCTGCCTTTAGGCAGACAAGATTGTGGGATTGCATGGATGTAGTCTTCCCAGTGTCCCACCCTACCCCTTCAGAGTTGGCGTAAAGCCCAGGTGAGCAGGAGAAAGACACCAGGACAGAAGAGGGGTTTGGGGAGCGTGCAGTTGAGGATCTGTTTTTGAACCCTCCCCCCATGTGTAACTGCCCCCCCTTAGAAACATTAGACAAGAGGTTTGTGTTGAGAATTAGGACAGTTTATTGTTTGACCAACATGCTGAGTCTTTTCCACATTTTACACAGTTTAATGTAAAGTCAATATGGCCGCTATGCCTTCTGAGCCCATAACAGATGGAAAGGCCAYCCTCTGTGCTTCTCACAGCAGATCGCTTTAAAGGGAGGGGAGAGGGGAAAGTGAGCTGGGGAGTCAACACACACCACAAGATGCAGGCTGGCCTTCAACGCTGTGGAGATTTCCCACCTCATGAAGGAAACAGCCAAAGCCCCATTGCCAGGTTTTGTTGATAAACCATACCCTGATGGGAAGGTCTGGAGTCCAGGGAGGCTGCACACTGAGGTCTCAAGACTCGGGAATACCAAAATAGTTGATGTCAAGCAGAAATTCAAAGGGTGCCCTGATGTCTGTGGTCACCCCAGATGATCTAAGTAGACTTGGGGACCCCAAATAATATCTGTATTCTTTCCTATCTCACTGAGATACACTGGGAAGAATCTGACATCCTAACCACAAAGCAGAGATGGCCTGAGGGACACACACAGGTTGGCGATGGATGAAGAATGGCAACACCTTGGTTCAGATCACTCCTGACTTGCTGGGTGATCAAGTCACCCTCTTGGTCTTATTCTCCCGCCTGCAGAACAGGAAGGGTTGTGGGATCTCTGCCTTATGCTGCTGTGGCAACGTGACGGTGCCTCACATTCTTTGGGGAGAGGTAGTTTGGAAACTAGCACACAACACTCTGGTCAGTGCACACACATACATCTGTTCAGCTGCCCCTCACATGGCTCTGACTATTTGCAGTCCTCAGTGACCTGGTCTCCAGTCCTGACATCCTCACCTGCTTTCATTTGTGAAGGAATGAGCCTGCTCTATCTGTAGGACACCAAAGCCAGAGGTGGCAATCCTTTGTCACATCTGGTACTTGAAGATAGGGGCTCCCAGCACTGGTTAGCCACTGGATAATAGAGACGCTGCACCCCAGATGTGTCTGCACTTGGCTACCACTTTCATCTTGTTTCTGTTTCCTGAGACACTAGAACTGACCTATCCATTGCTTTCCTTGGACCTGGGAACACTGCAGTATGGTGATAGAAACATAGTRGGGATAGTGATGGCAGAAGGCCTCTAGCCACCAAGCAGATTTTAATCTGGGACCACACAACTGCACACAGCGCTCGAGATACTGATGTCCCGCCTTCCTGCTGGTGCATACGTGCCTTTGTAAATAAGCCATTTGCTTTTTATGATCTTGACTTTTCTGATGCTTTGTTTTGATGTGGAATAGGCGCTTTACTGACAGCTTTTCTTTGAGTCCCCTAAAGAGAAAGTGGGCTAAAAGAAGAGGCTCCTGCCCAAATGCCAGGTCAGATCTAGGCTTTGGGGAGAGGAGCTGAATGACTAAACTGAGATCATGTCCTAAAAGGAACCCTAGGCTTTGTCCTCTGCTAACCAGTGTTGATTCAGCAAAGATGTGGAGTCTCACTGCGGATTTCAAAGCAAGTTCATGACATCATCTTCAAGAGGACCTGGCCATTTATTGTTAAACCTTAATTCTGAGACAAGATCCTCCCTCAAGCAAATGGATAGTAATGGCACTGACTCAAGATGACAGCCAAGGAGCCAACCCATTTCTGTGAAAGAGGTCTGGTTACCATTATAGACCCTAGGGAGAGCAGGGTGGCATCAGGTTGAGAATGACTGGGTCATGGAATGGCAAGGCACCACTGGGGTGGGAGGATGAGAAGGGACAATTGCCCTTACCTTCAGAGGCCACAGGCTCAGGGAAAAGCCTGAACTCAAGAGAGGACGTTGTGTGCAGTCTAGGAAAAGCAGGACTCTCTGTGTCATGATGGGAAACATCATGGTGCCTTGGATTGTGTGCACATGAGAAGAGAAATGAGTATCTACTTTGTTTTATAGGATGTTTTAAGTAAAGCTACCCTTCAATGCCAAGAAAATTAAAACCCACCATACATTCATTCACCAAGACCCAGTGCAAATCCCTGTCAACGGAGCTGTCCCAGAGGCCCAAAGTGACTGTCCTCACTGCCAGCCAGGCCAGATGCTGTAATGTAGACTCCCATAGATTCAAACAAGTTTGAAAGCACTCTTCCAACAAGCACCACTTGGGGGTGTGCCCATGGCGGGGATGCAGGGAAACCCTGGCCCATGCAGGCACGTGCCCCCTGAATGTAAGTACATAGAGAGGTGGTGGAGATATTCCCTTGGGCTATTTTTGCCTGTAGTTTTAACACATCTATGCATTATTTTTATTGATGGCAAGACAATCACAGATTATTTGACAATATTGAATATTTCTTATTTCAACACGTCGCAGTACTTTTGAATTTCCAAAACTTTTATCACAATGCAAATTCCAACTTGAGAGCAGGAAAGACAAGAATATACATTGATCACATGTATCTCTGTGTGAGGATGTGTCTGTGGAAGGTGTATACACAAGTCTATCTATATATATAATTATGTACACACATATAAAAACTAAACACGTGACATTTGAGTTACACTCATACATTGGTCCTTGCCCTCCAGAAGAGGTGCCCACTGGGATCCTGCTTCCTCTTCACCTGAAGATAGATTCCTCTCTTGAGATCAGCTCTTAGGCTGATGGTGTGTGGCAGACCCACTGCATAAAAATCAGCCCTGACACCTGCTGGCTGCCATTTTGGATTAGTTTCTGAGAAATTCCAAAATTCCAAAATGACCTTGTTGGAGTTCTGCCTTTGGAGGAATTCACCCTGTACACCTCAGAAGGTCATTTAGCCCATCTAGGACATGTCTATCAACAGACTGGAGGGAGCCAAAGCCAGCTGGGTGGGAGAGGGGTTATTCTGAGTCACCACCGCCCAATACCTGGCATCATGCAGGCCGGGCGGGGGGCAGTGGTAAGTCTGGGTCAATTTGGAGTGCCAGCCGAGTGAGTTACAAAGAGAAAGTTTTCTTCCAAGACTTTACAGGTTCTCAGGTCTAAGCCATTCTCAGGAATGAGTCAGAATGGTGAGAATGGCTCTCTGGGGGCAGGTCCCAGTGCCCTAGGCAGCCTTCTGGAGTCTTTACCTTGATCCTACCCTCAGGTGCCCACAGTGCAGCCACAATATCCACAAAGGTACGTGCACAAAGATTTCAACTGTACCATGCCAGTGGGGTGAAAACATGAAGAAATTGGCTTTTTTTTTTTTTTTTAAGAACAACACTCAGCTGTATTAGCAACTGAGGGTCTGAGAACAYGTCTCTCTCAAGGTGGTTCTACCAATTGCCTTCCTCACCCAATCACAGATGGACCATCGGCATTCGGTACAGGCCCTATCAGCCTCCCTGACTGTTGGGAGGAGGGCTCCAGGGTGGTACGCCACCTGGAGTCACACACTGAGTTTCTAAGTCAACCCAGCTTTGCGTGCTGGTTGACAGGCTGGTTAGAACATTCCAGAACTATACAGAGTGCCCCGGTCTATAAACCACACCATCTCAGCCCACAGTTGCCAACAGCACCCCRTCCTTCCGAAGGCCTCTTGCTTTACTGGTCACTGAGTGGGCACAGAACACACAGGTTGCCTGTGCCCTTTGCCCCCTTGAGGCTTTTGAGGGTAGGAAAAGGGGAGGCAGAAGCAGTTCCTGGGGGGTGCTGCCTGGCCTCCCTATGGTCTACAGCCTTTCTTTTCAGCTCAGGGCCCTGCTCATGCCCCTCGCTGCCCACAGAAGGCCCAAGCCTCTTTGGAGGCTGTTTGGTTCAACCAATGTTTGATTTAACCATGTGGGGCCTGGTTGGTCTGGGCTGAATGGCCCGGGACTGGAGCCTAATTAGTTACTCAGTTAATCGTTTTAATTTACTGGGCTGGAGAGGGGAGGAAGGCAGAGGTGTTGGACAGTTCAAAGAGAACAGGAAGGAGGAGGTGTGTGGAAAAGGTTTTCTGTAAGTTTACAAATATACAAAAACAAAAAGCACATCTTTCAAATAAAAATGACTACATTTTTATCTGGCAAAAAGTTGTATACACATGATTTAAATTTTTTTTTTAATTTTAACAGTTTTTGGCAATCTTAATAAAGTACAATATATTACAACCAAACCAAAAAATAGTCGTTTGAGTAACAGCTGTTAAGAGTGATGTGATCCCTGATGCCCAGCCTCCCTCCCCATCCCACCCTACTCCTAGAGACAGAGAGAAAAGAAAAGTCCTCCCATCTTGATGAACTCATTCCCCACCCCATAGGAAGCTAACCAATAGGAAGCAACACAACAAGCGAGTAGTGTCGGAGGAAGCCGAGGTCAGGCTCCGCATTAGCAGGAACAGCCGCCCTCGCTGGCCGGGGGCTCCTGGGGTTTGTCCAGCTTGATGTCGATCACTGCAGGGGTGCCGGCTAAGGAAGATGACTCTCGCTGAGAGCCCTGCAGGCCCTGTCCATCCCGAGCACAGCTTGTCCTGGGCTGTGACATCACTGGCACACAGGCCAGGAGTCCCTGTCCTACCTATCAGCTCCATCACCAGCCAGGCCCGAATGCTCACATGTGAAAGCACAGGGGAGCACGGCCCTGCCCTGGTGGGCAGCAGGGGCACCGAGCCTGCACGCTTGTCAGAGCAGGTCACTTAGATTCCCAGGTGGCTAATGTGGGAGGCCATACCCACTGGATCTAAACATGGCCCCCTCTCCAGCCCTTTCCTTYGGTGCCCTTAGGGACCGTGGGCCAAGTAGCACTTATCAGCACCAGAGGAAAAGGTTCAAAACACAACCAGGTTGTTCCTTCCTCTTCTCACCAGGAGGAATAAACCAGAGACTTTCATTATTTAGACCTTCTAATTATGGCTGACCAAGCCCTCGGTACCACAGTAGGATCACTCTTCTTGGGCTGGGTTTTAATGAGGTTTTTTGTTTTGTTTGTGTTTTGGTAATGGGGATTGAATCCAGGGGTGCTTTACCACTGAGCCACATCCCCAGCCCGTTCTATTTTTTGAGTCAGGATCTCACTAAATTAGAACCTCCCTAAATTGCTGATGCTGGCCTTGAATTGAGATTCCTCCTAGAATTATAGGTATGCACCACTGGCACAGGCCCAGATGGGCTCTAATTCCTGTAGGACTGCAATGGAGCTGGGGGTGGGGTTGGGGCATAGGGGGATCACAAGTCCTGCTTATCACTCATTGCTAGCATCCTGGGGAGGTTTTTGTGTCCCCTGTTTGAGGACAACAGGAGAGATTCTTTTGCTTAAAGTATCATGAAAAGCCATGTGTGTCCTGAAGATCACATTGTCGCTCCTTGGCTGTTAGGAAGCTCAGAATCAATATTGCCACCTCTAACAACACACACACACACACACACACACACACACACACACACACACAGAGTCCTCTCTTGTTCCTGTGTATGTATGCAGGTATGTGAACACATACATACTCTCTATTCCATGGCAGAATACAAACAAAATGGTCAACAGGTCATAAGCGACCGCCTGCCTTCCACTGCCCGGCTTCATCCTCTCCACCCCCCTMGGGCAGTCCTACTTTTCTGCTCCCTATTGTTTTTACAAACCCACGGCCAAGAAGGCCCTGCTGTTGGGCTTGGGGTGTAGCTCAGTGATAAGGTACTTGCCTAGCATGCTCAAGGCCCAGGGTTAGATCCTCAGTACTGCAGAGAAATAGAATAAAACATAAATAAATTAAATAAAGAAAGAAAGAAAGAAAGAAAATCATTAAAAAAAATCCAACAACCTAGCCCCTCTGCTGCTCTCTGCCACCTGTGGTTCTGTGGCCTCTGCTGACCCCAGGCCCCCTCTGCACTGCTGGCCAAGGCATCAGCCTCACTGGATTCTCCTGATCTCCAGGAGCCCCCTCTGAGCCCACCCAGCCTTTTCTCAGCATGGTGCCTTCCCAAAGCCAGTTCTGGTGTGATGGCTGATGTGTGTGTGGCCTCTGGCTTATCCCCTGCCCTTGATCCCACACMGAGGCTTGGCAGTCAGATCCTCCCCCTGTAAACATGACCTCTGATCCCCTTCCTTCCTAGGCACAGACTATTTTTTTCCCCATACCCAGGCTCCCTTGCCTCCTCCTTTGTTCAGGGCTCCTGCATTTGTTACCTCCTTTGAGGAGCTTTTCCAGGTAAAACTGAGCACCTACTCTGTGCTGGGCACTAGGCTAGGCCCCACTAAGGCGCTGCCGCACTTCAACATCAGACTTCAGGCCGTGCAGTAAAACACGACTGTCCAGCCGGGGGACGGAGGAGAGAGGAGCCTGTGCACACCAAAACCATCTGACCATGGAGTTATGCTCTTATTCATTCATTTGTTGCTGCTGAGAATGGAACCGAGGGCCTTGCACATCTTAAGCACAAGTCCTGCTGCTGAGCTACATTCCCAGCCCAGAGTTCCATTTTTGAATGACCCAGCTGTGCCACAATCCTCTTGCACTAGGTTTTCACCCTCATGTCCACTGTGGGTGCCATCCTGTGCATGCCCTCTAACCACGAGATGCCAGTAACATTGTGGGAGACCAACCTTACACGTGACTGAGTCACACTCCCTGGATGGGTGCTGAGGCGCTCAGTCACAGAAATGTGGGCGGTGTCTGGTGCATGGGTGTGTCTTGCTACAGCCCCATGGATGAAGCTACGCTCACCTGTTCCTTTGTAATATAACCCCTTGCCCTGTTTAGGATAGACTCTGCCATGGAAGTGCCTTGGGTGTGTCCCCTTCTCTTACTGTGCCCTTGGGTGTGGCCTACCCAGGTGTCAGTCAACCTGCTGACAGTGGACATCGTGAAGATAGACTCAGCCCCTTGAAACCTGACCCCTTGCCTCATTTGAATAGCTTCTCCTCAATAAAAGGGGTCAGCKTGTGCTCTCGCTCTCTCTCTTTCTGTGGACCCTTAAGGTCAGAGGAGCCGTCACAGCGACCCCAAAGAAAAAGGTATTTTTCAAGAGTGTGGTTACTTTGTGCAGCCCAGTTAGCCCAGTTCAACTGGAGTGACCCCTGAGCCTTTTAGTCGCGAGAACAGAAACCCGGCATAACATGTTTCTCTTTCCCCCAACTTAYGACAACCAAAAATGTCTAGAGATGTTGCCAAATGTCCCCTGTGGTTTGAGAACCACTGGATCTAGCTGAAAGGTTGGTCCCAGTTACAGCATTAATTTCTGTCCAATATGAAAGCTACCTGACTGCCATTAAAAATAAACCTTCTCCGGTGCTGTGGGACTCAGAGGGCTTTTGTATACTGCACAGCGGCAGTTCCCAAGTGGACTGCATCAAACATCTCCTGGGAAGGTTGCTAAAAATACATCTCCCTGGGCCCCACCTCAGTCGATCCGGGGATGGGCTCAGGGTGTATATTTTGAGCGAGTTCCCTGGGAGAGTCTCAATGCACAGACACCTGGGGAACGGATTCTACAGACAGGCCCAGAATAGCCCTGTTCAAAAGAACGGTTTGCAAAAGTGGACATGTTCTACGTCTGACCGTCCCACATGGTAGCCATCAGCAACACAGYAACCCAGGCTAGTGAAGTGAGGAACTGAACTTCAAACTGGATCCAACTTTAACTAAATGTGTACAGCCACAGGTGGCATCAGTATTAGCAAGTACAGGTTTAAATCATCTGCCAGAGATTCCACACATACTCTTGTCACTTAATGTCACCTCTTTCTTGTAATGCCACATACCAGTGCAATACAGTGCCTGCTGAGTGGAAAGGATGGGCAAGAATGAGTGGACCYGTGTCTACATGATCCCCACAAGAGGAAGCCCCTTGTGGAAGTTGCCCATAAGCCACAAGAGGCTTATTATGTGCCTTCTTGCAGAGCCCAGAGAGTCCCTCTGTTCCTCTGGCTCAAGTATGGCTCGTCACAGACCACACTTCCTCTCCCCTCTGGTCCTTGGGATAGCGATGGGTGGACCCAGACAGCCAGTTACCGTCTTGCCCAACCCGMCAGGCATGTGTCCCCCATTCCAGGTTCTCTAAGGTTGCCACACCTCTCTGTCTGGGGTGTCAGCTACCCTTGTGCTCTGTCAGAGAGTATAAGGACGGCAGAATGCAAGTGTTTGGAATTGGTCCCAGCCGTCAACTGAACAAATGGGAGGCCTTGGGCCTGCTCTTCCCTGCTTGGGGCATGACTGTCCTGTCCCCTTAGGACCACTTCATGAGGTGCCCAAGTTACTTTGCAAATGCCAGCCTTATTCAGAAAGAGCCCAGGACCCATATACAGAGAGATGCTGTTTGGGCACAAAGCAGGAGAGGGAGCCTTGCATATGCAGACCCAGCGAGGGGCTTGAGGCTTAACCACTTTGTGGCCCCTTGGCCCCACTTAGTTGAGAAAGCAGAGGATGAGTGGGGGTGGGCTGCTGGGCAGAAGGGCCAGCAGGGAAGCCCTGGGGAAGCACCCTGTCTTGGGTGTGAAGATGAGGCCCAGTAGCCCTTCATGTGGACCTGGAAGCAGCAGACGGGCCCGCCATGCCCTGAGCCAAGTGAGCGAGGGTGAGTATGAATTTTGCATATGTCACAAAGCTCTTCATGCTAAATACAGTTCCAACACGACCTCCAAGAACATAGCTCCCAAACACCTGGGCTTGAGCCATCAGTAAACATAAGTGCCAGACCACCACCCTGGCTAAACCTCTTGGTCCCTTTCAGGATCTAGGGGGTCTGCTCTAGGCTGTTCCAGCCCCTTCCTCAAATCAGGCCCCAGCCAGAGGGCTCCTGGGCAGAGAGAGGGTGGGACTGTATCTGCTAGAAAAGGGTCAGAGACTACATAGTCCTGTGCCATCTGCTTGCTATCTGCCCTGTGTTCTTTCTCCCCAAGGGCCCAGAGGTCACCTGCAGCTGGGTGAGACAGTGACCATGTGTTAATTGGAACCCTGAACTTGGACCCTGGGAGAATGTGAATGAAACACTCACCCTGACCAGTTTGCTGTGTCTTCAGAGTGGGCAGGACGTGGAGCGGGCCGTCTGCAACCCGCTCCTCACTGCATCTYGTCTCCTCCTGCCCTTGGTCCTGCTCTCATCCTGCCCCGCAGGTTGCCTTTGGTATGCTCCGGCACATCACAGGAGCCCCTGCCCGGTGACACCATGGGCTGTGCCCCGAGACGTGCAGCCAGCTCTGCTGCGGGCGCTGTGAGGTGCCCCAACACGCTTCCTCACCTGGAATTGGAGTCTCACCATGGACAATCAGGTGACACTCCCTTTGGCCACCGTGCATCCTCTGGGTTTGGYGAGGCACCTGCTCCCTGGGTCTCAAGACTGCTCTGAGAGTCCCTTGAGGAGGCTGGAGGGCCAACTGTCCCTACAGCCTGTCTCAGGCTTCCTCTGGCTGCAGCCTCGAGGTTCTCTGGGCTGGGAGCCCACCCCCACCCTGGCACTGGGCTGCGTCAGACAGAGGGACGTCACCTCTGGTTTCTAGCATCAAGCTATTCATTTCTTTTGCTTCAACCCTCTTCAGCTAGAAGGGGCCCTTTGGCCTCTCTGGCTTCCTTCTCTGACCTGTCACGAGTTTCTACCCTTGAGGTCCTGGAGGGACGAGTGGAGGATGCTGGGAAGTTGCTTTGGGGAGACACATTCTGTTCTGAAGGGTGCAGGCTGGGACATGAGTGCCCAGGTCTCTAGTGGCTAACTTGAACTGGAGCATCTGACTAGGTGCAAGGAAGGGCAGTCTGTGGGTAATGCCCTCACCTACCAAAGCAACTCTCATCTGATCCTTGAGGGAAGGTGTTTTAGAATGGAACAGAACTGGATATGGAAGAAGCAAGCTGGAGTATGAATCCTAACTCCACAACTTACATGCTGTGTGACTTTAGGCAAACCAGGCTACCTTCCTGAACCCCAATGTCAGCATGTAGGTGTCGGCCCMGGTTCGGGTTGGACTATGTGAGTGGTGTATAACCCTGTTCCATAGAGCAATGGGGAGGTGGGGGCTGTGCATGCCGGGGCACAGGACATGGAAGGGGCCTCAGGTGGGGGACTTGTCTCACGTGGAGTAGCATGAACGTACAGGCTCAGTGTTCGGAAGCCACCTCTGCAGTGGAGAGGCCAYCTGTACCCATGAGACATGTGGGTGTTCAGGTAAAGAAGGAACAGCCACCTCTTCTTGCTCCCCGCCCCTCACCATCACGCTTACACACCCCTTTGAAAGGTCTCCCCACGCCGCTGTGGAGGAAGATGGCCTCGACGGCTAGAGCTGGCTAGGGCTCAAAGACCATGGGCTCAGCCCTGTCCCTGGGCACAGGTGGCCCCCGCAGTCCAGGGAGGCTGCATGGAGGCCCAGCAAGAGCTTCTCTGCTGCGGGAAAATATTATTCAGAGAAAAGGTTTCTCGGGCTCATCGTTTCACTCACTTGTCAAAGGAAAAGGATACTCCCCTCTTTGCTCTTCTCCTGGACATTCTCCATGCCGGGCAGAGCCGACGCCACACGCCGGAAGAGCTGCAGAGACGGGGAGATCAGGTGAGCCCCGGGGATGCCCCCACCTACGCTGGCCCACAATGAGCTGGGCTCCCACAGTCAGGCTTCTGTCCACCGCCCTCGTGGGCACTGGGTGTGGGAAACCAGCTTCCCACCTTCCCTTGAGACAAGTGACCCTCTTCCTTGGGGACCTGTGACCCATGGCTCAGAGGCAGCTTGGCTGGGAGCTGGGACCTCAGTCACAGTGAGGGTCACAGTGAGTGTGAACACAGCAAGCACTGAGGTCTGTTTGGATGTGTGTGTAGGTGTGAGTGTGATATGCATACTGTGTGTGTGTGCGTGCTTGTGTGTGTGTATGTGTGTCTATATAAGCAAATGAGGGAGTGAATGTGTGGGGTTCTGTGTGTTTTTGTAGGTGTGGGTGTGTGTTGGGTGTTTGTGTGTGCATGTACTGCTTCTGTGTGTGTGTGTGTGTGTGTGTGTGTGTATTGGGGCGGGGCTTGGCAGTGGTCTGATGCTTATGTCCTCCCAACCTCAAATGCTGACACCTATTTCCCCATGTGACAGTATTAATAGGTGGGGCCTTTCCGGAGGTGATCAGTCTTGAGGGCAGAGTTTTTACGGATAGCATTAATGCCCTCATAAAAGAGGCCCGAGGGACCGTGCTTGTCCCTTTCATGTGAGCATACAGTTAGAAGGTACCATCTGTGAGGAAACAGGCCCTCACCAGACACTGAATCTGCCACACCTTGATTTTGGACTTGTGGCCTCCAAAACTCTGAGAAAAAAAATTTCTTTTATTTATATAAAGTCACCCACTCTATGGCAGTTCGTTACAGTAGCTCAAACAGACTAACACGTAAACATTCCCCTTCTCTCCACAGATACTAGTTGCAGGAACCCAGTGGGCTCTGGGCTTAAAACCACTGCATGAGATCTCAGAAGACAGAGTGAGTGTTATTCAGGTCTGAGGCCAGGCTGGGTGACAAGGTGAGGGCCCAAGTGCGGAAGCTGCTGGTAGGCCCTGCAGGGTGTGGGACCCTGCCTGTAGAGGGCCAGGACAAGTGGGCAAGGACATGGAGGGCCTGGGTCTCCCCTTGTGAGTGTTCTTCAAGGCCTTCTGCCATCTATCGGATGGATTGTAGCCTCTGCCAATGGCCAAGAAGGATGCCCTTGGGGTGGGGATGGGTCTCTGTGAGCAGATATGTTCTTGTTGAGAGCACACAGTCTGCACTGCAGGAACTCCTTCCCTGAACCACACAGGGGTTAAAGGGACCTCCTTTAACTGCTGCCTGGGTTGCAGAGCATTCTGGGAGCAGTGGGGGCATCAATGTCTCCCTGACCCGGAAGGAAGGCTGGGCAGCTGGCCCCTGCTCTAAGGTCGGCCTGGCCCTGCCCTCTGCTCCACTGTGCCCATGACTTTTCATCAGGACCCATAAGGAGCAACAGCCCAGGCTCCCCTGTGTGTCCCCAGGACATGCTTCCTCCTCCAGGGGACACCATGACAGTTCTCACTTTACACCTGTCAGGGATGGAGACTGAGAAGGGGGTGGGGATGAACAAAGCCATCTGAGATCCCGGGAGATCTGTGTCCTCCCTCAGGTCATCACAGTGCCCCTCCCACTGTCTCTTCCTGCTCCTCTGGCCCCTCCTCCTCCTCTACCACCAGCACTGCCCGCATGGACGGCGCTCACTGTATCCAGAAGGCCATCTGTGGCTTGCCTCACGTTCCCAGGCGATGCTGGGGCTGAAGGGCAAAAGGAACACCAGCCAGGTTCCTCAGCATCCCCTCACCCACCGCAGGTGCCCTGCTGCCAAACCTCTGAGTGCCCCCTCCTCGCCACCTCGCCAAGGCCCCCTGGTCCTGGAAGGCAGGGCTCTCCCCCCGCCTTGGCCTGAGCCCAGGCCGCCTCCAGCAGCCTGGTTAAGTCTACGGACACCTCCTAAGGTACAAAACCAAGTTCATAGGTTTATAGAGGAGACCATTTGTACTGAGTGAAATATTTCTAAAATATTTAGGAAGAAACAAATTTGTGACGTAGTGACACTTGTGCTTCCTTGTGAACATATTAAACTGCAGGAACTAGCTGTAGCCCTAATAACTCCTATGATGTTAATAGAGCCATGCATGTAAAGTCCAGGACACCTGCCACACTCTGAGGCCATAAGAAAACACCTGTGATTCCTGAGGGGGAGAAGGAGTCACAGGTTCCTGCTAATGTCATTGAACCTGGTTGCCTGCATTCATCGCCGAAGGACGTGCTACAGTAATTTAGAGGTCAGAGACGGCACAGGTGGGATTATCTCGAGCCCAGGTCTGCCGACTGCTGAATTCTCTCTTGGGCACTCCTTGGGTTCTGTGGATCCAGGGTAAGAGTCACTGCTCCACGGCTCAGCCCTAACTCCAACTCCTTTCCCTCCACCATGGGCGATGGGCTCCTTGCTCCAAGTCCAAGTTACCCTCCAAGGTGCTGAGCACTTGATGGATACAAGGCAGGAACCCAAGATGTCTGGCAGTGCTCCTCCCAAGTGAGGTAAGAGGCTAGGAACCCCGGCTTCCTACAGTCACCTGGGAGTCAGTGCTGGACCCTGTACAGCTTGCTACAGGGTGCCAAGACTGGTCACTGCTCTGGTGGCTGGTGACGGTCAGTGTCCAAATGGCTCCTGAGGTGAGTGCTCTGTCCCCCTCACATGCTTTCCCTGCTCTGGAAGTCAGCTTCCTCCCCCACTGCACAGGTTTATGGGTGTTTTGTTGGTGACCCCGATCTAGGTACCAGGCCCTAAGGGCAGGGCAGTCCCAGCCTGAGGCTCAGCACCCCCAGAAGTCCCGGGTGGGCCTCCTGGCCAGCTGTGCTGGGGCTGGCACAGGTGTGTCCTCACCTGCTTCACGTTGTAGCCAGTCTTTGCACTGGTCTCGATGAACATGACACTCAGTTCTTTGGCGCGCTGCTCCCCTTCCTCAATGGTTATCTGCCTGGAGAAGAGGGGACGAGGGGAAAATCAGTTCCATAGAGGAGCGGCCCCTGGCAGAACCAGAGGAACCTGGGCTGAGAGGGATCACCTGGCAGGGCAAAGGGAGCTACCAGGGCCCTTGGTGAGCAGAAGACAGGCTCCGAGCACAGGGGTCCATCCGAGGACCGAGCCAATCCCAGTCTCTCCAGGATGAAGAGGGCCCAGGGCACAGGGCACACCAGCCCCTTTCCCTGCTCCTTCCACGGTATCTTCTGAGCTCAGGAGCAGGCCTATCACCCACCGGCCTTTCCCAACTCTCACTGGTTCAAGAGCCTGTTTGTGAAGAGCTTCCGGCTACAAGCTGCCCTGGGTGACATCGTCAGCCCCCATTTCCAAATGCAAATGCCAAGGTTGAAAGTGGCTCCCCCAAGGCCACAGAGCTTCGTAGCAAAGGAGCAAGCATCAGAGCCCATTTTCCCCATGTGACACAGGACTCCAGGAAGGCATGCACTGGTCACATTGCAAGAGGCCCAGGCACCTTGCTGGAGTCTATGACCTGTCACTTTATCTGTCTGGGTTGGGGTCAGGTACAATAAGTAGACAAATGTGTGTAAAGGATACCTAAGTCAGCCGGTACACTGGAGGGCATATAGACGCCTCTCCCACAGAAGCATCTCCCCAGATCGCAGCAAGCCAGGCTGAGCAGGCCGGGGGTCAGGCTTGTTCTGCTGACAGGCTGCAGGCTCACGTCTAGGGCAGGGCATTCACATACCATGCACCAGTGCAGGCTTCTCACAGCGGCAGACCTAAGCAGTATGAGCAGAAGCTCCTGCAATCAGGGGACTGTGCTGTGACCATGACGGGGGCCAGACCACACACTGCTGGGCGGTGCACACGGCTCAGTGCCTGCCCTGCTGGGCGGTGGAAGATGGCGGCTTCAGAAATCACACACCCATGGTTGGAAAGGGTACTTCCAAGTGTGCCTAAAACTCCTGGGCCCAGGGACAGGTCAGAAGGACACACTTGCCATCCATGCATCCCCGAGTTCCTGGTCCAGAGCAGTTACCCAGGAGCAAAGGGCAGGCCTGTCTCACCAGCCTCTGCACCTCTGTGCCCCGGTACCCACCTCTTGTCAGCCAGGTCCGTCTTGTTGCCCACCAGCATGATGATCACGTCACTGCCCCTCTCTGTCCTGACGTCATCGATCCACTTAGAGGTCTGTTGGAAGGAGTTGAGGTCTGGAGGCAGAAAGGGGGACAGTGAAGATGAGAGCCAGCCCTTAGACAGAGAGGCCAGGAGTGGCTTAGTCACCTGTGAAGAGAGGAAGCCCAGCCCACGCAGACCAGTCCACTGGGAACTGAGCCCTGGGGAGCCCCTTGAACAGCTCAGCCACCCTTTCGGGGAGAGGAGTGGCCTTACTCAGAAAGTCACCGTCTGGAGTTTCACATGAAATAATGCCTGTAGAGGCCATCATGAGACCTGACTTTAGGGTTCCGAAGAAAATGTGAGAAATGGGTGCACGGACTCCGCTGAGCCTGGAAGCAGTGAGGGGCTGGAGGCGGACACTCAGCCCCCAGGGCAGGAGCACCCTACAGAGTGGCCTCCCCAGAGGGAGCTTAGAGCAGCTTGGGAGAGGACAGGCGGGTGAGGAGAACCCCAGACTCTGCAGGCAAAGGGGCTAGAAAGGCAACCCAGGGCCAGGAGCACTCGGTCAGCCAGAGAGCAGGGCTGTTTCTGGGCAGCCTGGTCTCCCTCAGCAGACGTGACCGTCCTCATGGGGAGGTCACTCCCGGGTCACYGGGTGGTGTCTGCCACTCGGCAGTCCACATCCCTGGTGCAGGGGAGSCAGCCTGGCCTGGCAAGCCCCCATTCCCTGCAGCCTGGTCTCCCTTCTGCTGGGTACCAGGCCATGTGGGCCCAGGTCCTCGGAGACCCAGCTCCTACCTGCACTCAGGGAAAGTGGTGGGTGGACTAAGGGACAGGCAGAGCTGGGGCACATGTGTGACTTCCCACCTCAAGCATAATCACGGCCATGGGCTTCCATTTTACAGGCCCAGSCAGCTCTGGCTGTGTCAGCCCCCACCCCAGACCCCAAGTCTCTCTCAGGTTTGTGCAGGCCTTGAGAATGCCTGCTTGGGACACAGAGCACATTGGGTGAGCAGGGCTGCCAGCCCCGGTGTTCCCAAGGCTCCTTGGCTGCCCTGTGAGGTGCTGAGACCCCAGTGACAGATCCTGCCTGCTGGGTCTGGGTTGGCACAGGCCATYGTCTTCTCCCACCCTGATGAACATACACAGACGTCATCCAGGGCAGTGAAGAGTGAGAGGGGCTTGGGGCAGGGCCAGCCTCGTGAGCATCTGCTCCCCAGACCCCCAGGACCCTGCTCCAAGCAGGACTAACCAGCCCAGTCCAGGTCTGTCACAGGTGTGTGGGGGGCAGTGGAAAGCAACTCACACCCCACCCGGGCCTCTGCCTTCCTGCAATTCAGGTCTCATGCACACACGCCTGGCCAGCAAGGGTCACTCCTGGGCCCTGGGTCCTCCGAGAGYCACCCTCCATGGAGCATAGACCTTCACTCACTTGTGATGTCGTACACCACCACGGCCACAGTGGAGTCCCGGATGTAGCTGGGGATCAGGCTGCGGAACCGCTCCTGGCCRGCTGTGTCCCAGAGCTGCAGTCGCACCTGCACGGAAAGGGGTACAGGGGTAAGGGAGGGGGCCAGCGAGGTCCTTGGCCAGCCTGGGGCCCAGGCTCTGTGATTCTGGCACTGCCAGGCTCGTGCCACCAGGCTTGGCACAGGCTCTGGGGTCCCAGGAGATAAGCCCACAGAAACCCTTCTGTCCTCCCAGATTTAAAATCAGGTGCTCACCGTGCGGTCCTCCAAGTACATGGTTTTTGACAAGAAGTCGATCCCGATGGTTGCCTGTTAGAGAAAAGCATGGAAAGGTCAAGACAGAAAGGTCTCCGGCAAAAAAGCAAAGGTGCAGGGTCCCCAGGCAATGGCCCGGCAGATAGAGGGGGGCACTGCTAACCATCCAGGAAAGTCTCTGCCCACAGGCTCTTTTCTCCTCAAGCCAACAAAATGGAAGTTGATCGTTACCAGCACCGCGTGTCACACCTGTGCCTCTCCTATCCTGGCACCTGTAAGGGGCAGCCAGCCTTGCAACCAGAGAGCCAGGCCCTGCCACTCCCTTGCTGTGTGGCCTTGTGCAGGCCACCAACCCACGCTGGCCTCACCTGTACCCAGTACCCATGAGTAGGAGCTAAGAGACACTGTCAGTGTGAAACAGAGATATCATTGCTGCGTAATTAATAAAAGACTCTGACACGGCCTGGACATCCGGGTCCTTGACTAGGGACAGGGATTAGAATCCTTGGCAGCCATTAAAAATMATGTGCTTGAAAAATCCTTAAGGATCTGGGGAAGCAAATTATCGAGAAGCCGCACACTCTAAAACATCGATTAACTGAAGTAGATACATGAGTATTTTTCATGTTTTTTCAGACACTGAAGTGAATCGGATGCACTTCATACCAGTGTCTATATAAGAACATTATGGGCAKTTTTTGAGATTCCTTCATTATGTATTTTCTTTTTTTGGACTGGGGATTGAACCCAGGGGTGCTTAACCACTGAGCCACATCCCCAGCCCTTTTTTTATATTTTATTCAGAGACAAGGTTTTGCTAAGTTGCTGAACTTATGATCCTTCTGCCTTTGAACTTATGATCCTTCTGCCTCAGCCTCCTAAGCCTCTGGGATTAAAGGTATGTGTGCCACCATGCCTGGCTATTTTTCTATTTTCTACAAATAGTTCTGAAATTTAAAACAAAGTCTTCTGAAATAAAAATAAGTTTAAGAAATGTGTCTCACTGCATGGAAAACTAAGCAGTGACTATTGACTATGAAAAACAGAACCAAGGGAAGCCCAAGGCCTGGAGGCTGACGGCATGGGTGTGCACCAGTGTGCATGAGCAGGTGTGCACGATGCCACCCCCAACTCAGTCCACAAAGCACGGAAGGCTGCTGGAACACCAAGGTACAGAGTGCTGTTCAACCCTCTAGAATAGATGACTCTGGAACATGGGGACAGGCACACACCACAGACACAGCCTCGCCCCATCCCTTAATTTGAGGATAAATGGACAGGCCAGGGAAGTTAAAGCATGTGTCTGTGGGACCATGCCAATCAGCGRCAGGGCTGTGAGCCCAGTGATGAACCCTGGCAACACTGGGCTCTTCCAGCATCGTGTCCTGCCTGGCATGGTCACTGGGGACAAGCCTGACCGACGAGAGCTTATGGATGTGGGGGTCACACACTTTCATTGGGTGTGACGATGGATGTAACTYGGGAATCTTCGTCTTCTCCTTCCCTTAAGGAGGAATGTGCAGAGCAAGTTGGAATCTCTCAACTCACCAGTGCTCGGGGGACTCCCAGGAGTGCCAAGCTCCTCTGCAGAGTGGCTCTTAACCCAAACCAGGGGCCTGGGCTCAGGATTGAGGCGGAGGCTGCCAGCCATCACCCAGATGTGTGGGGGGACTCGTGGCTGCCCCACATAAGATTCCTTTGCTGCTGGGTGGCTAAGATGTGGTCAAAGAATGTGAAGGTCATGTACACATCACTGGGGTGGCTCCTCTATGGGTGGCATGCCCGMAGCCACCCCCTTTACTCTCCCATTGCTTGGAATGCAATCAGGTGGTGAGGGGTCATCATGGCCCATCCAGGTGAGGATGACAGAGGAGAAATGACAGACCCACTGAGCTTGACTCCCTGGCCCTAGGAACTGCCTCAGCAGCACTGGACTCCTTACACCCAGATTGTTGCGTTACAGAGACTCTGTCTTTATTTTGTTTAGGCCACCATCATTTAGGGTTTCTGTGGACACAGACCATCGCACCCTAACCAACAGGGCAATGAACCATGAAGAAGCAGMTCCCCAAATGTCAGGTGGTGACGTTGCTGATGATAACTGTAACAAGGACAAACCTGTTTTAACTCAAATGTGCACAAGCTACTTTTTCTTCCAGGGAGGGTGGAGAAATCGCCAGATGACATGAAGAGGGATTGGAACCCAGGAAAACTCAGCTCAGTGGCCCCCATAATTACCAACACCATGTACTGGATGGACACCCACACCCACGTACCMTTATCTCTATTACACCTCCCCGTGACCTGGCCAAGAGGTGGCAATGAGGAAACCATGGCTGGAAGAGATCAGCTTCCTATCTGCCCCTCCTTTTAGTCCAGCTTCTAAGTTGCTACATTAGAGCAACCTCTGGTCCCTTAACTGTCCACTTTCTCACACCTGTTTGGGCCACATTCTCCACCCAACCAGTCACTGAGCCACTGTGGGTCTTCCCGCATCTTTGTAGCCAGGTAACACAGTGTAGGTATTGTTTCTGGGTACAACTGAGGCACCAGCTCTGTTTGACACCACCTTCCTAAGTTCTGCTTTCAATGATGGCTGAATAGCTTGTATCTAACGACTCCAATCTCTGGTAAAATGCAAGAAATAAACAACTTCCAATCAATAAAGAGCAATTGAAAAATAGATAGGCAATGGAGGAGTTTTGATCTCTGAAGGAACAAGGTAGATCCTACATTTCAGCAGTTTTCCTGCTTTAGAAACTACCCAGTCCCAGAAAGTCAAAGAGGTTTGGTGGATACCTGAGGCTTCTCCTAGAAACCCCAGAAGAGCTGGCTTTGGAAGGAGGGCCATGATCTCAGGACTGAGTATTATACCAGAGGATTAAGGGAAAAACAGAAAGAGATCTATCTTTGCAAAGTCTCAGCAGGGTAAGTACCTACGCCCTGAAAAAGATTATCTTAATTAATCCTCTCATTAATTGCCTATTCAAATAGACCTGAATATTCTTTAAAGGAAGATACTAGAATTCCAGAGTCTTCACAATGTACTATTCATTATTTTCAAAAAAAAAAAGATGATATGATAAGAATAAAAAGAGGGTTAGACACGTGGAGAAGCAGGAAGTTCAAGTCATAATCAAAAGGAAAAAAAAACCTCAACAGAAGCAGACTCCTAGATGACCAAATGTTGGATTAGCAGGCCAGGACCTTGAAAAATAATGCTTACAAATAAGTATAAAAATCCTTTTAAAAGGGCTGGGGTTGTGGCTCAGAGGTAGAGCGCATGTCTAGCATGTTCGAGGTCCTGGGTTCAATCCCCAACACCACATAAAAATAAATAAATAAAATAAAGGTATTGTGTCCAACTACAACTAAAAAATATTTTTAAAAATCCTTTTAAAAAATGGATATGAGGGGTGACTTTCAAGAGATATATGTTAACTTTAAACCAAACAGGACATGAGCAGGGAAAGCCAGAGGCAAGAGACTACTTTCTACTTTGCCTCCTAATGTCTTCGAGGGTCCCCTTCTCTCCCTCGGCACCAGGACTGCCTTCATGTAAACCTTGAACCTTTTTACCTGAATCACTTTGCTGCCTGACTGGCCTCTTGGATTTCAAGCTTTTATCTTGTGACTATTGTTCATACAGCAACCAGTGTGTTTTTCTGAAATACACAGCTGACTACATCGCTCCCTGCTGGTCCCTAGGAAATAATCCAAACCTTTGGGTTTGGCCTACAAAGCTGTTCAGGGCTTGCCATTGCCGCTTGGCTTTCGATGGCCTTGACACCCAGCTTGACTTTGTAACGATACTGTTCAGAACTTCCAAGTCACTCCGTTTACTTTTTCTAGCACCATCCTCTTCTCAGGATACTCTTGCACCTGGTTAATAGGTACTCAGGATTTGAGATCTAGCTTCTCTGAAAGTCACTTTCCAAATCCTCAGGTTGCTCCCAAGGCCCCTCATTTAACTATCCTGACTGAATTGGGAAGATTTCATCCTGGCCAATCTCTGCCTCTGGCCAGCCAGTCAGCAATTCTCAGCCTGCAGCTAATCACATCAGGAGCTGGATAAACATGTAGATTCCTGAGCCCCATTCAGGCAGACACCATCCCAAGCTCTGGGTGTCTGCCTGAGTCTGGAATCGGAATTCCAGCGAGTTCTCAGACAACTCATTTGCAATAAAGGTGGCATCTGGCAGCAGCAGGCTCCCTGCAGAGGGGCATGTCTATGCAGGGGAAGATTCTGGTCCTAGATGGAGAAGCCAGGCTCACTCAGAACCAAGGCCGCACAGTCCGAGGTTGCCAAAGCTGGGAGGTGAATCCACATCTCCCTAACTGCTGACTTTTCAGCTATTCTCTCTCTCTCTCTCTCTCTCTCTCTCTGCTTCCTGAAATCCCTTCAGTTTTTGAAACTGTCAGTCCGTTTGCCTTTGGGTCACATCCTGTCTGGCTCCCTGTTGTGGAAACTTGATGGTCATTAGCCATAATAGCTCAGCAGAGCCCACTTAAGAGGAAGTTAATTTGCATTTTAGCAGGAAAAAAAAAATAAAGTCAGCTCTCTAAGGACAGAATAGAAGGAACTTTTTAAAAAAGGGATTTGGCTGGCTCTCCATTACCAGAGCATTTCTAGCTCCTTGGCAGCATCTGTTTTCCCAGACACAAGACACAAGCAGCTGGCTCCACATGGCTGCCAGCTGGGGCCCATCTCTCCCAGAAAGGTCAGATCTGCAGGGAGAAGGTGGACATGGTTTTCCCTGGGCACCTCCTTTGCAGCAGACAGACGAGAAATTCATATTCAGTCACTTATGACTTCTGGTGCCTATTGTGTGCTGGAATAAGCCCTGGTCCATGCCCACCAGGAGCTTCCGACTTCGTGGAGAAGCTGATACAGAGTGTTGTGGCTGCCAGATAGAGAGCTTCTAGGGGTGCAGGATTGGAAGACTTTGCTTCTGGTAGAATTCTTGAGGAATGATGGGGCAGATATACAAGTGCTAAATATGCAGATATGCATATAAGCTTTCCAGCAGGTGAGTGTGGGGGAGTAGTGGAGG